ATTATGTACGAATGTCCGCTTCCGTTTTGTTTTGACGCTTACAAAATTATAATTTGTGTGAAATCATTAACCATTAACACACCAACCAATGGTCAAGTTAAAATTTTCCTGTCAAAATTCAATCTTGTGATGATTGATTAGCGGGATGCTAAATGCAACTGGTAAATCTTTAGTGTCTACAAAAGTGGTGTGTTTTTTAAGGAAGGACCATAAAGGTATTTTCTGGGAAAGCTAACCAATCCCTTAAAACTATTGTGGATGTGTTGGAAATCTGACCTGTCCCTCGGTTCCTAAGTCCGACTCCGAGACGACAACCGCTATGTTAGCTGAACCAAATTCGCGATGACCAAAATATAGCGCTGTTCTAACAAACTTCGGTCTATAAACTTAACTAACTACTTGATACTGAACCATCTATTTACAAAATTCGGGTTGTATCTAGATACAGTAGAGAAATATGGGACAAAATAGCTTGATAAAGCAAAAAGGTGTTCAAAGTGAGGACAAACACTGGTACACAGAGAAAGGAACCATGGAGCTGATGGAACGGCGGTTCTGTGTTCCTTCAATGATCTGCGCTTAGATGTTGTACATGGCTGTAGTGCGGATTGCCTACGTTCTACTGTAAGGATGGAGTTCTACTTCTGCATCCCTCTTTATTCAGCAAGTTCTAGAATCTAGATGATCGTTCTATTTTACCTTCTACTCCTATCTTCTCAATTCGGATTCCACTATAAACTGTAGGTCCCTTAGTTGCCATTAGCTGTAGGGCTATTAATTAACAGCTGTGTCTAAGGAACATGTCGGCCTTAGTCACTATAGATATACCACTAACAAAACAACCTGCGCAGAAACGAAAAGATCACGTGGTTCGCGCAGGTAGGTGGGCCGTACCATTCAAACCTGCGCGGCTCGAATCGGCCGAGGGTTCTTTTGTTTCTGGTATTACTATAACAAGACTACAAGATCGCGCCACTCATCCTTCACTCACATTTGGGTTAAAATACGCACATAGTGGCGTCCCCATCTTAAATAATTGATATAATTATTTTGAGGTTCTAATGATTTAAAATAGGGACACATGTGTAATTGTATTGTTCATGTTAAAATCTTTGCTGAAAAACTCAAATACCACGAAAACACAAACATATTAAAATATATGATAGCCTAAAGTTTTTGAAAGTTTAATAGTCTTAATCCATTGCCTCTGAACCATTGACTATATATAGTCAATGCTCTGAACACATTCTTTTGTTAACATTTAACATTTAAGAGGCCCAGCATAACTTTTGGTGAATAATTTTATCTGCTTACCACCTAAGTTTATGAATTTTAAAGAATAAATCAATGTTAAACATTCAAAACCATTCATTCAAGATATCAGACAAAAATCTCTTAAACATTTGCCTTCAGCTGATCTATAAGGTTAAATGTATTTTATGGGCATGACCTATGACTCAGCCAACCTTTCAGAGGTTTATAGCCCTAGTTTGACTCACCTGATCAATAACATAGGGTCATGACTTATCACATATAATGACACTTATTGTTTTCCCCTTCCAGCAGTCTCATTCAGGGGTGCCCATCCCCCCCAAAGCTCACGTCGCAGAATCCCCCCCAAATTCGTTGTTTAACCATACCCATGCCGGAAGGTCTGGGGGCTAACCCATAGTTATGTTTATAATGCGGGGAGGGAAGGGGTGCCCCCGACACTTCTTTAAACTTATGGGAATTTAAGCGTTTGAATCAAACTTTAAACCCAATAAAAATGGACAATTTTCCTTTAAAACTCTAGTAGCAAACTATTTGTTGGTTTAGTTTTAATTTAAATGAGTTGGATTTTTGACATGCACACAATTTGAATCAAAATTGGCCATAGTCAAAGAGTGTAACATGTTAATTTTTAATCAAAATCGTTCGGCCAATTCTGAGAAAATTTTATTTATCCATTATTTTTATAGGGTAATGGAATATATCACTATTAAAAATCCAAAATGAAAAAAATAAATCTGGAGAGACCATGGATTGGTACCTAAAATACCAAATTTCATCAAAATCGGACTCGGACCACAGGCGTGGTCTGTAGCTCTGTACCATACATACACACATACAGACAGACACACACATCACTTCGAAAACCACTTTTTTGGGATCAGGTTTTTTACATAAAAAATTCTTTTACCATATTAAATTGTAGGGGAGAAAGTACTTAAAGTTATGTCAAAAAGTTTGAGATATTTTCTAAATTGCCCTTTAATCCACTTCTGAGTTTGGTCCTTTTTAAATAGGTGTAAAATATTCAGTCTCAAAAATATTACTAGGCCTAAACTTAATAGTATATTTAGTGCCTAGGGCCAAAATGAGGTTTTGCTGGTTCGAGGTAGTTTTTAAGTCCGATACGAGGTTGAGGACTTAAAACGATCGAGAACTGAAAAACCATTTCAGTCCGTGGTACAAACGCTACTATTCACCACCCCACACTATACTCTATTGCCACTAATTCACCTCAATGATAATACACTGCACACTGATATAGTCAACACAACTACAACTTTAAGGTCATGTGGATAAATAGTTTGAGGAATCAGCAAAAACAATAATGAATAGTCGCTAGGCAGCGGTGACAATAAAACAACTCTATTGCAATGCTATGGATACTGATTGTGTATTTAAAGCGGGCAGCTGATTTTGCGGCCCTAGGGATGTAAAACCCTGCTCGATCCCCAAATGACGATGACAGCTGGCATGGCCTGCAAAACGTAACTTTCAGCCACCAATTAATGTACCTTTATGTAAAACAGTTAAAAACATCATAGTGTGGTAAAATAGTATATTACGTTACTAGTCCTGAATCCCGTGCGAGACGAAGTCGAGTAGTGTTTTTTTTATACGAGTCCGGCCAACACATTTTGGACGAGTGACGTACGATAGTTTACGCCATACTACTAAATCCGTTCAAATTCCTATATTACCACCAACTAAAGGACTAAAAATCACTAGAGGTGTTTTTGTTATAACCACTCATTGCCACCCAAATAGGCCCTACAGTATAATCAGCTGATTGGTGTCCAGCAAAACTCATTACAGTACAGTGTAGTACTGTATGAAACCCCATTTGATTAAGGACAACAGCTGTTTTCTGGACTAAATCCTTGCATGGGAAGTTCGTCAAAATAGTGTAGCGTGGCGTAAAAAAATAATTATGTATCTATTCTAAGACTAGTAAAATTTATTTGAAGCTCTTTCTAGATTCAAGAAAATACAATAACAAATACAATTTAATTAATCCATAATCATGTGTTTCAGTTCTTGAAGTTAACGTAAACACATAGCCTATCAAAAACCTTGATTAAATGTCACAGTACTGTATGTTAATTTCTTCCAATGAATAAATGACCCAGGCATAATTATTTAGGAGAGCCAAAATATTATCACAAGCTTTCATGTTGTTTTTCATGTTGTAGGAAAAATAGCAAAATGATTATCATTATCATAATACTGGTTTTTTTATGAATCAAGAATATATTATAATAAACAAACCTATAAAACCATCAATAGGTCCTCAAGGCAATGAGACTATTTGAGAATGAGTTCATAATGAAAGGTTAAAACAAACTCAAATTGCAGATACAATTTAATAAGCAACCATAATCCTTTGACAGCAGTTGTCATGGAGTTGTTCTCACTGTCAAACATGATACGAGTCAGAAAGTGGAAATCCATCCACATAAAAGCATAGATAAAAGTATCTATATATTTTATAGCAATTATAAAATGATGTATTAATCAAGATAAAATGTCAAACGGGATTTTGATTGCATAATTACCCCAGTAATAAATTAAGGAGGTCGTAAAAATTATCTGATTAATCTTTTATGTGCTTTTAACCAACCACAGGCTTGAATCCCCCCCAAAATCACAAAATCCCCCCCAAATAAAATTCTGATGTCGCATTTTGCGACATCAAACCCCCCTGTGGGCACCCCTGGTCTCATTGATATAATAGTTTTGATTTTGAACAAGTAGCTGTGTACTAAAATACTAGCTGTATTGTTTAGGAACATCACAAAATTAATTCCCCTTTTTTATGATAAATATTTAATGTTAAATCAAAATAACTGTTATATACTTTGCTTATGTTTCCTGGTCAAAAGTAAGGTCTTAGCTAATTGTGTCAGTGCAAAGTAGACCTACATCATGCCACTCGAGAACTGTAGATATTTTCTAGTATTTTTCCTACCACCATAGTTAACTTATTATAACACACAGTGAGTTTTAGTTGTATATAAAATGTCAATTAGGTTATGTTTGCATTTTTAGGTTATGTTATTTGCTTGAATGGGGTTTATCATCAAAATGCCAACAATGAAACCAGCAGAACCAGCTGATCTAAGTGATTTAGCCAGCAGTAAAAGTCATTCCCACTCTAGAAGGGAAATGAGCTTTTTTGCATACTGTTTACATTGGGGAAATGTGATCATTTCCAGGCAGTGTTTTTTTTTTCTTTTCCTAGGATGCTAGGCACGAGCCCAGAATTGTTTTTCACATTACTTCAGGTTATGTTTCACACTACCTAGGGGTTACGGCATTATCACTTAGATAAAATCCATTGGTGATTTGGCAGGCCCTGGGAACCGGAGTCCCGCGCTCTAACCTCTAGACCAGCTCGCTCCCCCAATATTATGCAGTGTTAGGAAAAATAATTTGGGTTACCATAAAAAAGATATAAACAACAAAAAACCTCTCAGCAGTGAAAGTATATTCACTATTAAATAATTAATTTACTTTAATTAATTTACCATTGTATTTCATTCTTTGGATTCTTACTTTTATCTGTGAAAGCTAGCGTCATACAATTTACAGGTTTTAAAATATTTTGTGAAAAATCTTAGATTCCTATAAATATATGTCCTTATGGATCCACTGTGTCAATATACCAAAAATCTGTTTCTAGACATCCTTCGTAGCTAGGGAATGAGGACATTGAGGAACAGAAAACATACAAAATAACTAAACCGTCTGTATTTGTATCTTTATAACAAGAGAATCATTATCCAAGAAGCCCTTGGTCATGACATCGGAGAGCAACACAAACTCAGAGTATCCGAATCCTCGCGGACTGATTTCTTTGGAGGGTTTCTTGAAGGCCTCCAGCTCGGGTCGTGACATCATCGTCTCCTTGATGGTGAGGTCGGGGTTGGTCGGATGGACCAGTGTGAAGCTGATCCTCCCAGAGAAAGGCCAGTCCAAGGCTTGGTCAAACTGTCCTTGCTTCAGGTGGATCAACAGAGACAAATAGTTTGGATTTTCAATGGACATTTTCAATCGGGCGCAGAATCTGAAAATTATTTGATATGTATGTTATTCTGGTGAAATCCTGTTAAAAATGTTATAACTGAAGCTGGATGGTGGAGTTTTATATGATTATTGGAATCTTCCAGTATTTTCAAAGCTGATTAAATCTCATAAGATAGATTTTTATGATAACTAGAGACGATTCATAGAACGATTGCGTAGGAATCGTCTCCTACGTTCACTTCAAAAATAGTGGACATCTTTTGCGACCACGGGGACATCATTACCCATCTAGTGGAGTCCCCATCTTAAATAATTGATAATTGATTAATTGATAATTGAATCTACCACGATCACGGCAAAATTGTGAACTTCTTCTTCTTGCGTGTTTGGAGAAACTTCATCACTGTCTCCCGAGATCACGGGGACCACAACTTTCAATCTCACAAACTTCAAAGACGCTTTTGGTGACTGTGACATTAAAAGTTTTGCTCAAAAAACAAACCCCTAACAGATTAACAGGAAAGTTATTTTTTGCGCCAAGTGAGGACCCTCCCTATGACGAGGCCCCTAGAAACTGTCTATTTATTTCATCTTGCCAAAAGTTATATGGTGGTTTTAGAATTGCCTAAGAAATATTTTTGTTCTATTCTTGAATATCAAAAAGTGGTATTTTCATATTTTTTATTTATAACAATAAGAGCTTGGCTGAAATAGATAAGATACCAAAACTAGCCGACTATTTGGACTTCAAGACATTGAATATCACTTTTTGGACTCTAATATCGCAAAGACATCAAATATCACAATTTATCTAATATATATTAAATGATTATTATATAAATTTCTTAAAATTTATCAAAATTAAATTATACAATAACTTAGTTTATATAAGTAGTTGAAGCACGATTCTCACCTGTACCCTACATACGATGTCGTAAATGCTGGACTGTAAAAACACCTGTTGTAATCCTGAGTCATTGACAAGTACTTTTCACGGAACTTGTCAACAGTCCAGACACACACTCCGTTACAAAACTGTAGAGGGATGTTGTACTTGAGATTCTCATTATCTTCCACCAGTCGATTCACCTGAAACAAAATGTTTTAAATCAATATAAATTTTGTGAATGTATTTGCCCACCTACAAAACTGTGAAAAATCCATTTAAAAACATTATAGCGGTCCAAAACTACAAGTATTATACTCTTTGTAAAACAAAACATATAGGCCTACCAATTCCACACAACAAATTTTACTATATAAAGCAGCATCAGTAATTTATTTTAGAGAGTCTTTTAAATGCAGTGTAAAAGTCCACAATTTTCTCATTGGAAAGAAAGAGGTCCCAAAACTTCTTACCACTGCTACAAATTGAGACCTGGGAAGGGAAACAAATTTTGCTAGATTGTTTATAAAATTATCAATGCAATATTATAGTGTTATCACTACTTGTTGATCTATATTGGTTTTGAATTCAGGTTTCTGTTGTTGGTAAAATATCAAATTTACCCAAAATTACAATTAACAAGTTCAAGAAAAGTTTATACCTGAGCTCTCATACTTGTTATCTGGACTTCTTGTTCTCTGTTGCTCTGCTCCAATAAAACTATTCTTTCATAGAGTGACCTGAAAAAATTAATCGACCTTTTAACTGTTAAATTACAAAATAATAATTTCAAATAAAGCAAGGAAAGAGCGCCAGCAAGAAAAACCATGTTTCTTTTCCCTTGAGGTCTATTTGGTTGAATAAACCTGAGGAGAGGACTTCAGAACTACACTGAGAAAACCATAAGCTTTAACTCAGAGTTCAAAATAACCATGTATATACTCTGAAAAACTCATTAGAAACAAAAGTAAACCGGTTTTATCAATTAAAATAAACAGTATCAGCAATCTGACACATATTTTCTCCCATTAGCTTGTCAACAACTTATAAGCGGCGGAGACTAACTAACTATGATTTTTATGAGAAAATTGCAGAAGCTGAAACAACTTCAGAACCATAAATGTTACAGCAATTAGGGTTGGTACAATTTTGTTAAAAGTTTAAAGGGCTTATAACATACTAAATTTTATCAAAATCATTTTACTCGTTTTTTTTTAATCTGATTTTTGGTTACAGTTGAACCTCTATAGCAAGGGGTACGGGAAAAATTCTTACTATAGAGGTATTCTTAATAAAGAGGTTTGTTTTATCGAGGTTTAATGCTGCTGTTATTCTTCTTATAGAGGTTTCTCTTCGCTCCAAGGTTTCTCTAAACAATGACTGAGGAAGGAGGAGGGATGGGTGGGGGTTTCATGTTGAGACAAGCTTCTGTTTGTTTTGAAAACTACGTATACTATGGAGGTTAAGATTATGAGAAATTCGTCTTATAGAGGCCACTTTCGTCTTGTAGAGGTTTTGTACTAAGAATATTCGTTGTATAGAGGTTAATCAGTCCTAGCCCATATCACAAACAAATTCATTTTATGGAGGTTTTTAACTTAATTACTACAACAATATTATAGATTATAGAGGTGTTTAGCAATTATAGAGGTGTTTTTAGCATTGACCTATATGAAAGTTTCAAGGGGATTTAAAAAAATTCGTCTTATCGAGGAATTTGTTTTATCGAGGTTCGTACAAACGAGGTTCGACTGTATTTTGTGGTTAAAAACTATTTAAACGTTTAATAGAAGAGAAAAGAACAATGTGTTTTTCCTGAAACTTTGATCAAATTGGGATCAATTTAATAAAATTAAATTAAGATTTTCATTAATCTCATATGAACTAAAACTGGCAAAGTCTGTACGCTTAGGGTGATCGGCAGGTATATCTGATGTCTTAGCTGAATTTTTTAGGCATAAAGACTCAATCTTTTACGGTTGACATAATGAAATGTCAATATTTAGGAATGTTAAACTAAAGAAATTTTCGGGCAATCGATTTTTTCGGCCTTTTGATCACTTGTTTTTAGCTGGCCAGGTGAATGTCCATTCAAAACCTTACGGTGCAAAGGAACTCATCAACCAGCGTCAAATTTTTTATCATCAGATGTAAATTTAATTTAATTTAATAATCAATTTAAAACCTGCGAACCACAGATTACACTCTGTGCCGTAAACATCGTACTGGCAATTGACGTCAGGCGTGTGAGTCCCAATGGCGGTCTACCACCCCACACCTGTTTTGTGCATGCCAAGGCCAAAGTTTCCTCCCTTGCTACACGGAAAACAAAACTTAGTTATTTTAGCTTCAATTTGACATAAAAAAAATGTTTAGTTACCTTGAATACCAGCCAAACAATAACCATTTAAAATCCTGGCATTCTTTTATAAACACCCTGTATACAGGGAGAGAAAGTAAAAATGGACCGTTAGAAGTTGCCACAAAAATGAATGGACTGGACATTCAGTTTTAAAAACTACACATTATGTGTGCAGTACTATTGAACAAAATACAAATTAGGCTAATAAACAATAAGGGAAACACTGAACACAACCTGCACCTACCAAATAGCACTTGAGATAGCCTACAGGTTTCAACTTTTTTGTTGACTGTATGCATAGACAATGAGTTTAAGTTTTTAAGAGTAATTCTCTCTTTGAGTAAGACTCTTTTTCTGTGTTCTTGGTGACAACAAACTAGTTGCTTTATGTTTTCAACCATTTTGTTTCAACATACTATATAGCACCATATATAGCGGGACAATATCTATAATGATAGAAGCATGGCTACTCACTTCAACAGATTCTTCCAGGAGTCCTCCTCTTGTTCTCCATTTTTGGACGGTGCTTCCCATAACTCCGCTTCTTGTGCCTTGAGATCTGACGTGGCAGCATGTCTGTCACTAACTCTCGAAGCCAACAGCTGCAAATCAGAAAGAGCAAATGTCTATTATTATTATGTGAATGACAGCGCCTAGGATTGAACAGAAATCTAAAACAATAATTTTGTTTGTGCACATTAATTTTGTTGCCAAAGCCAGTCAGGTCTTTAAGATTAGAATATGAAAAGGAAGGAGTCACTGCATCTTTTTAACAATGTGAACAATGGCAAACACACATTTATAAGTATTTACCACCGCATCAGTCCAGTCGTATGTGTGGTTTTGGTTTATTAACAATCGAGACTTTTGTCCTTGTCTTGATGTTGTAAAGTGATGCCGTATACAGTGAGTTTTGGTAAACTGCCTTCTTCTAGTTTGTAAAGTAACCATGAGCGATCTACAATGACTGTTTTGTCAGAATTAAGTTTCAAGTCTGTTTTTTTGCTGCTCATTGACTGATGTTATGTCGTAAAGGAACATTACCTTTAGGACAATTGGCAGAGCCTCCTCCAATACAAGGCTCCGTCTTTGGTGTATGGAAATGTCACACCAGGGCCTATTGCCATGGTAATAACAGTTATAACTAATAAGCATCTAGACTGCCAGTGCAACTCCTAAGATCGGTAGGATCGTGGATCAGATCGAAAAACCCCCCACCACCGCTCAACCACGTCAACCATTACTGCAACGATACGGAGCAGAGTCATGAGCCTTTGTGGTATAGTGGATAGCGTGTCTGGCTAATAATCTGAAGGTGCCGGGTTCGAATCCCACCGGGAGCACTAACTTTTTGTCAACAATTTTTTTCATATCAGCAAGTTTGGTTGGTTTGGTTAAGTTATGACAGTTTAATTTTATAATTAAAAGATTGTAAAAATTAAATTTGAGACATTTATAATTTTATTTTTTGAACAGAGCTATTTTTCGATTAGTAAACCTTCATTCGAGTTTATCATTATCAGCAAGTTTGGTTAGGTTATGATAGTTTAATTATATTTAATTCAAATTTAATCTACAAATTATACGTTTTGACAGCGACAGTGATACAGATAACAATTTTCCGCGAACAGTTAGATAAGCTATGCTCGGAAGCGTACGACATGGTGCGGTGGTGGGGGGTGATCTAATGATCTGATCCACGATCCTCCGATCCTCGGACTTGCACTGGCAGTCTAGACGCTAGTCTATAACTAGTAAGTACATAGATGTTGTGCAGAAGGTCCATTATGAATCAGTGCAACAGCTGTTTAGTTAGGCCGAGGCTACGGTGGTGTCCCTTTTGTCTCGCGGCGGCCTTGTATTAGGGGAGGCCATGCTATTGGCCTTTACTGTTTTCTATGATGCCATAGCTTCGAAAACATTAGTTTTTTTATGTAATTAGGGACTTACCGCAAGATGGTGATGTAACTGCGTATCCAGATGAGTGTTTAGCTGCTGCACAGACTGTACTTGTGTCTTGCAGCCAAAATTGTGGAATGTACAAAGAATAGTTTCTTCTTGCTGACTGCTCTCCTGTATTATACACCTATGTTAGTTGAAACATGGACAGACAGTACACAGCCTAGAAAATTTAAAATCTATGTGTGTAGTAGGCAGCATATTTAAATTTGGTAGTTAAATTTAAAGTACCAGGGGACCGAGCCTTGCTCGGTTGTGGTTAAACTTAATTGGGTTTAATAGTTATAACAATATCGTAAAAAGACATTTTTTAATTTATGAAAAATTCTTTAATACAAAATTATAGACATTTTGATTGCTGAAACAATAAAAACTCTGTAATGTAAAAGTATACAACTAAACAAAAATAAAATCCACTTTTTTGATCTTGCTTAAGTTTAAATGTCACACGCACAGAATTAATCTACCATCTAGTCATTGGAAAACCCGTTGTTCGACTTTTACACTCATTAAAGACAGCAGATAAAAATATGATATATAAACACATTATCCTTATTATTATTATTATTTTACAATTTGCTAGTATACTGTAGATGACTTGTTATAAACACATGTTACAAGTCTTTTGTTTACTTTTTACTTGTTATTTTGTTCAACCAACAAAGTTATTTAGCAACCAATTAGGCCAATGTAAAATTTTTTAATTAATTGTCTAGCGAAATACAAATTTTTCAGAGGTATTGACCAATCACGTTTTTAGGGCTATAAGTCCCTAATTCCAAAATTTAGTCAAAATCCTTCTGCTGGATTTTGAGATGTATTATAGACAGACAGACAAACAGACATAAAATTAGGTTGTATTAGAGAAGGATTTTCCTAAAACACATAAATACAAAAAGGAAAATGGAATGTAATTTAGAAGAATTTATTTGCTGTAACTCAATCACAATTGATGTAGCAGACTGGAATTTTAAATTTATATGAACAAGAGAACAAAAATCTAAATTTCTATTTTCTCCCTCGGTTGTTGTTATTAATTTAGCTGATGTAAGATATGCTAAAGAGACCTAGTATACAATAACCCATTTTAGTCTGGCTTGGTTAAAACAGTTGGCGTATTCAACCAAAATTAATTAATTTACATCAAAACTTTCTGTTGGTGGCTCAACTCGACTGTGTTCATTTCTACGATTAAACTAGCAACACATTTAACGTGGAAATGGAATATCTAGTTGTATCTATAGTCAAAGCTGTTATGCATTAAAAGAAAACCACTGAGCTTCAATATTTGCTTTTGATAAGTGAATGACAAGTTGACCGTGGGTTACCTTGTGTGCAGTACTAATGTGTTTTTCAATTTCCAGTAAAGGCAGCAGCTGTGAGCAGCCTTCCACAGGACAGTTGCGGGTTTGCTGAGCAATCTCTCGACGTGTGAAATTGTCAGGGAATAAGTCCTTAGTTATTGATAGAGCCTGGCTATCTATAGGGCAAAGGCCATCTTGTTTTCTGCAAACACATTTCAATTTATAGATGAGGGCTATTGAGCAAAATAGTTATTTGTGTAACTAGTGCGGGGTGGCTCTTTGCGCTCAAGTTACACATTATATTTCCTACAGTTACTATAAAGCATATAAATAATTAGTCTTTCAAGCACTAAACAAAACGTTTTAGGTTTGGTTAAATCCAAGTACTGAACGGAAATAGAATGTTAACACAAAACAATAGGTCAAGTGGTAGTATCAATACTCAAAGGCTATGAATTGCTGCACCAGCTGATTGTATAGTGTTAGCAAAACGGGAGTGCCGATGGAGACCTGTGGGGGTGCGTGCATTTGAAGGGACTTGACCTAATCTCTATCGGCACTCCCGTTTTGCTAACACTGTAGTCGTAGTATATTATATAGTAGTGTTACCAACTTATTTTCATGAGTACACATATTATGTGCTTTACAAAGCAACACTGTTTAGTGTTGATTGGTTAGAATACTGGAGTGTGGCAAAGTAAAATAAGTGTGGCAAAAGTAAGTAAATTCAGCAATTTAGCTACTTTGCATGCTATAATCAGTGCAAGGAAGCCCACTTTGTCAGGTAACTGAAGGAATATATATTGGAGGCAGAACCTGCTGGGAAAATCCGAGCCATTGTGGTAAGGATAATTTGTATGAAACACTTTAATTTTTCACTATTTTAATAGGCCTAGACCACTTGGAGTAAACAACTTAAAATGACTTCCCCTACCTTCCTATGAAGGAACTTTTAAACATTTTACCATGCAAACAAATCAATATATTTAGGTAATATATAAAATACGGAATTAATTGTAAAAAATGACATGCTATGAGCTTAATACAAATTTTATGTTTATGAGAAACACAGAAAATAAATTGAAATATAAAATACTCAGCTTTGTATTTTTACACGTTTATCAATGTTTTAGCTAGGTAAACAGTTTATGTGACAACAGCAATATAACTAAAAATCTGTTGATATGATATGACTGATATTATTAATTGAAAATTATTAATAAATTAAGAACTAAACTGTTTCAAGGAGAAATATTTTTTCAGCATCAGAGAGAAAATAAGTTGAGATATAACAAAGTAATTCATACAGTAATCTGATTCCTGATAGTTGTAGTTCTGCTTACTATCAGGTCATTGACCAGTTGCAGTGGTTTTTAGAGTCAGTTTATAACTGTTTATTTAAATCAAAATCTTTCCCAAAGAAGTTAGAGGAATTTAAAGTAATACCTACTAATTGCACCTTGCACCTCATTACTAGGATAAGAAAAAAAAGAAAAAATCAAATAGTAGGCCTATGTTAGTCAAATATTTAGATTTGATGACAGTCTATTGATCGGTTAGTTGCGTTCGCCGCATATCTTGTTGTGAAATTTTGTCGTAAACAAGATGGTCAACGGTCAACAATTGTTTGAACTATCTTGACTCATTTTTATTTGAACAAACGGGGTTACAACACACATGCCAAATCGATAAGACATGCGTGATTTTTACAAAGAACCAGTGATATATGATTCTTCATGGAAGAAGGTAAGATATAGGCCTATTAAAAAATTTTATTTCAAACTGTTCTTTTAGTTTTAGTTTCTTTGTTTATCCATAACCTATAACCTTTAACCTTTAAGGTGACGTTTGATACCTATGAAGTGTCATAAAAATTAAACCATTGTTTAATGTCTTCTTTATTGTAACAGCAAACTTGATTTTAAATCAAACACAATATAAAGCCAAACCTAGTAAAGGAGGTATTCTGTTAAAAGTATCTGTTAACGTTACTATACAAAGCTGTTAAGGTATTACAGTAGTTTTCAACACACTGGCTTTCTGATGCATACTGTAGCCTATGTAGGCCTATGATAGTATGTTTTCTTTTTTAGGTAATTTTTCACTTAAATTTCATTGAGGATGGGGCTGGGGAGGATGAAAACCTCTCATGTATTTATAGGCAGCAGCTTAAGATATTGTCTGGAGGAAAGTTTAACCAAATAAATTCCAGGCGAATGGTCTCACCTAGAGGTTTACTTAAACCTAGTTTAAACTGAGGAATTATTTTTGGGAAAGCGAATCGCAGGTGAATCTAGACCACAATCAGAGTTTAAAAGTTAATCTAGAGATTAAACTAGATTTGTTAAAAGGCCCTTAAAGGACAAAAACCAGATCTTATCCGCTCCCCAGCATTAGGCCTACTTATTAATAATCATCCTTTAAAGAAAAAGGCATGTAAATCCAAGGTGCTCAGCCATCATAATCAAGCAGCTAAGCGTATAGAGTACTAGTAGGCAATCTTCCAGGAAGTGCTATCAAAAGGCAATCATCAACTGAGTTATGTGATTCAGTTAGTAGCTCTGTAGGCCTACCATGTACAGTACCGTAGCACTGCATCCCTACATCTCTTCTATAGATATTGTGTCATTCAAATCTACCTTCTCCTAAACGAAAGTTGTACCAAAGTGCAATTGATCTTAGTCCACTGCTTTAATGAAAGGTCTGTTTCAACATTTTGTAAAAATAAGTTACATAAAATTCAAGCTACCTATGTAAGTTAATTATGTTTTCGGACTTAAAAATGCTTTACCTATGCTTAATAACCATCACAGAACCATATCTACAAAACAAGAGAGTAAATTCTACAATGAAAGATTTCAGTACCTACCTATATTATCAAAAGTGAAAAACTTACTTGAGCCATTCTTGTATGCACTCTTGACAAAAACGATGCCCGCATGATGTCAAAAGGGGGTCTTTAAGACATGTTAAACAAATTGGGCACTCAAAACGGGGCTCCACGGCATACTTTGATCCATTCATTTGTTCGTACCCTGCATGTCTAGTTTGGTTCTGGAATTCAAAAACAAACACATCGAATAAGTTATTTCACTTTTGTCAAAATTGATCAACTGGGAGCAATAAAAAAGGCTTAAGCCGGTGTTGATATAGGCGGAACCAAGCAAATAATTTAGGCAATTGCACAATTTCTATGCAAATAAACATAAAGAAAGAATTAACAATAACGTTTACAGTGTCCTACAATAAGCGTCAATAAGACGTCCAAGTTAGGGTACCTACTCAACCACACTAACTTGTGTTTAAACTTTTAAAATTGTAGCCTACTATTAGTTTCAGAAAATTTAAAACTCGTTGTAGAGTTCAGAATTAACAACAATCTTCTAGAACACTTTGCTAAACCAAACCAATTAATTGTAAATTGGTTTATTTTGGACCTTTGGTAGTTACCAAAATGCCAAATAAATCAACCAAACATTAGTTCTATAATAAAGAATTCCGTAACAGACAAGTTTTGGCTTAACTTACCATTATATTTTTTGAGCAGGATTGTCTAAAATAAAACCTTAACCAATTTAATGTGCATTGAGGCCTAGCTGCAATTTAGAAAACTCATATCAACCGAAGCCAACTTGTGCTTACAATAATATTTACACGTATCTATTAATAGAAAATGTCTAGCTTTATGACGATAATTAATGTTAACCTAAAGTTTTTAGAACTTTCATAAACTTTGTCAACCTAAACCACCACTTTATAACTTTTGGTTTTGTTTTGACGTTTATCTTCCCCACCAACAAACACAAGAACAAGCAGAGCAGACCAAACCAGATCCCAATCATTCTTTCTCAGAATGACTCACAGCCTGCTGTCAGATGATTCATATACACACTACACAGATGTAAAGTAAAAACCAACTGTTTTTGAAACGCTAGCATCGGGGTGGTATATAAAAACATGAACGTACTTTCATATAAAAAAATGTGCCGTTCATAGGTTTGCTATCGAATCGATTATGATCAAACACGGTACGGTATGATCGTACGGTACACGGTACGGTATGATCGTACGGTACACGGTACGGTATGATAAATTTTGGTATAGTTCTTTGAACAGGATGATGATCCTGGCTAAAGTAATAGTCAGTTTCTCTGTTAGCAAAGCTAAGTATACACGGATCATCCATTCTGATTCTACGCTCATCATACATTCACTCATGGTGGAAGTAAATACATAGGTGTGCTATACCCATCAATCACTGACGTCACCCAGATTGCAAACAAAAATCACCTAAATGTATTGCCATAAGTATATATTTGTTTTGATTTGATTCTTGATTGTTATTGTTTTTATAATCTATCTATATATATAATACGCTAAGCCGATTTTTGTAAACAGAACTCCTCCCTCATTTTTGGACCTATTTTAATGATTAAAGTGTCAAAAGAAGTGCCCTAATCTGTAGTTTTGCGATTTTTAGATTTGCGACACGATCTGTTTTTAGATTTTTGAGATCTTTATTAGCTTGGGCAGGATTTTCCATCAAAGTTGGGTTTTTCCCCATAAGATTAACATGGGGGAATCTAAATACTTAATTGGAAACTTTGTGTCCAGTAATTTGAGAGAACGGCTGGGCGTAGAAACTTGGTTGAGGTATCCAAAGAAAGGTCTCGATCTGTAGATGAGTTATCAAAAGAAAAACAAAGTAAATTTCCTTAGGGCTCTGCCCCAGGGGCCTTTAAAGATCCCTCCACAGATTTGTTTACATTTTGGCCATGTGGATAATACTTTTTTAATGAAACAGCTGTTAATTTTACCTACGACCGTTTTTTAAAGTAGCCATTTCAGTCCAGTTCTTAGAATTGAAAAGTTTCACTTTACAGCTGTTTACTTTCATATCCGCATAGTTTCATTTTATATCCGCATAGTTTTCTCATATCCACACAGGTAACGGACCAATGAGGTTCAAGTATTGAGAGAAAAGAATTAAAATTGTAATGCTTCGAACGTCAACTAATCAGCTGATCAGCTGATCAGTTGACCAATTTAATTGTTGATCCGACTTGTTCATGTTGATACTCGCGTATTCTTAATTAAATTGGTGGAAGTCCAAAAATAAATGAAATATTTGCCGAATTGTACCAGATACAATATTATTTATGGTAAGAATGCTGCTAGCAATGTAATATTTAACGAAGTTTAACAAACACGTAATTACAGGAAATCAGCTGATTATACAACAAGTCGTTGCATACCTTTCAGTGGCAATGACAATACACGAAAACATAACCTCTCTAAAGTTATCATTAGTGATTGTTAGTAATTAAATCCAGATTGATAGTAATTAAAAAAACGGTCGTAGGTAAAGTAGTGTACGCAACTCGCGTTAATAGTCTTTACGACACTCGTAGAAGTTTTTAAGGCACTTGCCAAGGCTCGTGCCTTAAATTTTCTACACTCGTGTCGTAAAGACTCACTTAACGCAATCGTTGCGTAAACTACTATTTAAGTTGTATTTTAAACAACACACATTTATTGGAAGTTACTGAATAGTCCAAAAGAAGTATCTGCAATATTATTTTCTGATTTTAAAATTGATTTTCTTCTGTACCATGTCAGGTTTTGCAATATAACGTTCCATTACGAAATCAGTGGAAAATCCTTTTATCACAGTAACTCTTAAAATTATTTCTTATTGAACTATCTTATATCTATTGTACGGGTTGCTGTCTTCCTTTTTCACCACTTTTGTCTATATTTTATCATATTATTCTAGACAGATCATCATAGGTTCGTGAGATTATTGTCATACATGTTTGTCAATCATTGGAAAAATCTCCGATTGTGTTATACAATGCAAAATAATACAAGTGCAGAAAGACACGTTGCCCATATGAGCCGTTTTCATATTTTGTTAAATTAATAGTAGCTTAGAACAACTCGATATAACAATTTACAATATTTGTGTTGAAATAAGTGCATGATTTAGAAAGTCAAAATAGAAAACTGCAATTTACTGCAGACTTTTTAGAGAGGTTACTTTGATGTATTCATTCAACACAGAAACCTAGCCTAAAATGGTATCCATCTTGACAAATTATTTGCACCTGCCTATATTACGTACTTTGGCGCACTGGGTTGGTAACATCATTGAAAATAACACGATATTTTGGCTGTAAACAATAGCACAAAGAGTATATACTATTTAAGCAGCTACTGTCATGACAGAAAGGTCATATTCCTTTTAAACTAGATCACATGATCCTTTATAAGATACGTTGATTAACAATGTATGTAAACGTCGATATTTACGTAACAGCCAATTTACAGAATTTTTTGCTTTTTTGAAATGTCACATTGCTATGTTATTTGCATTATTTGTTGCCAATGAAGCCACACGACCATAAACAAGGAGGTCCCTAACAGTTCATGGATAAAAGCCAACTTCACTTCAAGTATATTCCACTACACCTAACATTCCGTAGAGATTATATTGACAACTTTATGTAATTGAAAAGGCTGAGACAACTAACTGCCATCCCCATGTCAAGGAATTCCAGCTTTAACAGTAACCCCACAACCAATTTCTCAAAACTATGCTAGAGGGTTATTCATTGAACAGAAGTACGATAAGAACTGACGTGAAGTGACGAAGGGAAAATCAAACTTACACTGTAATGGATATAACTTCCTTTGAAGTTAGAAGGTGTCTTCTCAACCATTCCATTTCTCAATCTGCATTACCCTGATGAAATCGCGGAAGGGTTTAACTACAAAAGATCCACCAAAACGATTTTAATCCTATTTAAAGGTTCTTCCAAAAGAAGAGATACCAGTTAACATACTAATAACTCCGATGACGTACGGTATGGGAAATATTTTATTCATTGAACGATCAACCATATTTGGTAACTAAATCAATTAATATTATTATTTCTTTTTATACTTATTACTCTTTAAACAATGTTATTCACTCAATTTATCGCAGTTAAATGATTTTGCATAAACCTTTAAAGTTAACCGTCGATTTCGACGGGTTTCACCTAGTTTTTTTCTAAATAGTGATATGGTGTTTGCAATCTGGGTGACGTCAGCTTATGACGGGAATAGCTAGCACACCTATGTTTTTCCTTCCACCATGGCATTCACTTTAGAATGGGTCCATTATTACATCTATATATATAATTCTGTAAGACAAAATTTTTACCAGAAAATTGTGGACGTCTGGTAAGTCGCAGAAAAGTGGGAGAGGTCTTAAATTAATGGTCTTGACCCCAGGGACTCGGGAAAAATAGCAGAATTCCCATAAAGTTACCAGAAAACGAGATATAACGTAAAATATCCACCATAAGAAATGCATGGGGACTGAAAACGTCTGCATTCTATCAGCTGTTACTTATTTATTTGCAATGTTTACATTTATGCTGAAATTCAATGTTGGTAAATAATGTTTCAAAATGAATTGTATTCGTTTAATTTTGTTGTTTTCCTTTTTTATAATGAGTGAAGTAACTAGACAGGGTAGGGGAAGACCTGCAAGACGTGGAAGAGTGTCCAGGAATTCAACAGACTTAAGAAATGCAAAAGAGAACGTCATGTAGGGCCTAACTGTGAAAGAAATCCAGAAACTGTTTTACAATCTGTCTTTAGAAGAACGCTGGCAAATGAGTTGAGTTGTTTCTCACAATCTAGGTCCTCTTAAACACTTGCATGAATTGTGGCGCATTTCACTTCGCAGAGGAGGCCACAAATGGACATTTCAACGCATGTTGCCAAATGGACATGCCACAACCACTTAAGCAAATGACGAACTAAAAAAACTGTTTTTACATGATTCGAACTTCATAAAAAAAACATAAGGAATACAACGGTGCAATGGCTTTTGCATACCACCGCCAAATGGGGAGTTGCCATCATAATAATTAATAATAATTTTAACCTTTACATTTGGTTCTCAAAATGGAAAGTATAACAGAATTCATAAGATTACAAAACAAATCTTCAATTTTAAATTATAAAAGATGTGCAATGTTTGGCTGTAAGTTACCTATGATTTCAGCTCTGATTCGTCGCTCTCCGGGCTCAGGCCAACCGTGTGCACGTTTCCATTTGTAATATGTTGTGTTATTGATTTAATAATTATTTTACAATTGTAGGCTATTTCATTGACACATTAGAAGCAACTAATATACGACTCCAACGGAAGGAAAACCAAGATATAAAACAATTAAGAATCACTGTTAATTTTAAGTAACATATTTACAATTGATAATTTTAGAAACATATTTAGAATATTTGTCTTTTTATATATGGTTTTTTATCGTAGTCTAAATTAGGGGCTATGGCCCCTACAGGCCACTAGTCTCCTATATTTTTATATCCTGCATATTCTTAAGATACGTTGTTTAATGATGCTTTGCTTTCTAAAAAATGAATTGAGTAGGAACAGGACAAATTATACATATTCGATTGCTGATGAGTCTAAGGGAGTATGTTTTATCTATGGTCTAATTTACAATAATTATGTTGAAACATCCAGTCTATATTAACGTGCTGAAGCTTTAGCTGACATAAAACTAAAACTGGCTTCAGATCTTAAAATAGTTGATAGGGAAACTGCGGAATGAGTAGTAATACATAGTACATGTAAATGGTAACTCAGCTATTTGACAAAAATAACAAACACGGTCATTAGCATTTGTCAAATCAATCTCTAAATTAAAGGGTAGGTTTAATCAACGGTAAAGGTAACCGTATAAAATTATGTTTTAAAATAATAGTCATACTATTCTATAATCAATTAATTTACTACTTATTGACAACGTTTTATTACTGTCTTTCTATTATTTTTAACGCCTTTGACGTTGTATTTTATTGTTTAGTTGTCTTTGGAACGCGGTTAGAACTGTTTGAAAATTTCAAAGCAAGGTGTCGTGTCGGGTCGCTTTCGGTGTTTGTGTGCGATGTGTCAATGGCTTGGTTTACGAGTAAATTGTTCGTGTTAATAAAGTTTTAACAAGTTGACGAAGTTATTTATATTATTAAAACAGGATATTTTTATAGACCTCAGTTTTTATTGTTTGTAGGCCTATACGGATATAATGGATTTTACTGAGGTAAGGTCGGCTATTGATTAGCCAAAGCCATCTTGCAAGTTAGTTATGTATCAAATAACTTAACGGTAGGACAAAGAAGTGTCACAGACATCCACATTTTAATAGTTATGCTCTAAAAACACAAATCATGCAACTTGATCTTAGTTAACTTTTATATTTTATAGTAAGCCTAACTGTAGTTTCATTCGTTTTGGCTCATACACAAAAGATTAGACAATAATGCTAAAATTCAGTGGCGAATTGGGCATTAAAAAATAAGGAAGTTAGGAAGGGGGAGGCAAAACCACCTGAGAACCATGGGGTTATATTATGATTATGAATTAACATCATAGGCTAGCAAATTTATTAACCTCCATCTTTCAGGAAACCCCCCAATTTCCCCCGCTGTTAATTAATTACGCAGTCTTATGTTACCCTTTAAAAAGCTTATCTTAAGCAAAAATACCGTTTCAAGGCTAGGTTAGCATAAGTATGTGGAGTTTTGCAACACCTTTGGCTGCACTTCAGTTTACATCCTACACTCAATTCGAACGAATATAGGCTATCGATCGATATAGATAAGCTATAGATTTTTTCATTCTATATAACAAGTTTGGTTAGTTAGGTTAAAATATAACCTAACTAACCGAATGAGTGTAGGACGTAAACTAAAAGTGCAGCTAAGTTACACGTTTATCAAACCTGTTTATGGGATTCCCTACTATAATTCTCTCTTAAGTTAGGTCTATATTTTCCAGACATAACTTAGGCCTAGCTTGGGCCTAATTAACATAAGTAATGGTTTTAGGCTTATAACGTTCACAAAATTATAACTTTCACTGTAGTGCAATTGGTTTGAAGCATTTTGATTTTTGTAGCTGGAAAACCGGTGCATAAGTTACAAGCTAGTTAAAATTACTCAGATCAGTTTTATTTGTAACTTACATTTAAGCTATCATAGTTCCAGTAAGTTAACTTAGTTGGGACCAAAAAATCCTGAGCCTAAAATTTTAAGCCAAGGTCTAAGTTAAATTAACTTTTAGTAGCCTCCCCTATGGTACATCTGTAAACTTAAGCTACAAGTTAATCTATATATTAACTTATTAGGTAGGGGCCTAGCCTATTTTTGTTAGAAATTGAATGATTAGGGCCTAAGTTAAGTTACCGGCAATTTTAGCGGTTGTGAGGTGGGCAGATCTAATTGACTGGTTGTAAGTTAACTAGTTCAATCGCATGATACCTTCTCTAGAGGAAGAACTCCACACCACCGCGCCGTAACGAACGCTTCCAAATCATACTGACTAAGTATAGCCGAGGACTTTGTGATTAAAAAAGCTAATGTCTCGTATTTACCACCAGTTAACTTATAAGTTAGCTAAGGCTACACCATTGTGCATTCAGATTGGATTTTAACTTAATTCTATCAAAGTTATTTCTAACCATTTTTTTCTGTTAACCAGAGAATGCTTGAACGTAATCGTTCACGCCAGGCAAAGATTGATGTGAAGGGCGTAGCTTCAGAGCCACTGAAACAAGTCAATCAAAACACCGTTACCACTGTCGCATCAACAAGTGGTAAGGAGATACTCTAGAAAAGACTTAAACTTATATAAACTTGACAGAGTTGCCTTTTTGCTTTTAGGTTTCTTCTCTGTAATAGTATTATGTTACTATTCCTGAAAATATGTATTTACCGTACAAGTGTGGATTACCATACGAGTTCGGAAAACACATTTTGGACGTTTGACGTACAATATTTTATGCCATACTTACTCTAAGCAAACAATATAAAATTTATACAAATCTTTATATTCCCACCGACTAAAGGACTAACAATCACTAACTTACTGATAACCTAAGAGAGGTTATGGTTTTGTTTATAGCCACTCATTTCCAAATATAATCAGCTGGTTGGTGTCTGATAAAAACTCACTATCCCAGTAGGCCTACAGTACAGTAGTACGTAATGAAACCCCATTTGATTAAGCTGGTGGCAAACATCTGTTTTCTGGACAAAATCCTTGTGAGAGATGCTTGTTAAAACGGTGTCATTTTGCGTAAAAAAAACTATCATAGACAGCACATGCTAAATGATGTTGTTAAGATTAACATAGGCCTCCTCTGAATCCGAATCGTAGCTTTGAAGTTAAAACATTACATTTTGTTATTGAAGTTTATTCTTTGCTGCATGACGATTTTAATTTTAATATTTTCATATTCATTTGTTAACACAGCCTATGTTATATTTAGTATCTAACCTACTACTTTAGGTTTAAAAGGCCAATGGTATAATTTTTTTTTGCACTAACTGGGCAATAGATTTTGTACATCACTGCATGCAACGTTTTTGCTTTTCAGATAACCAACAAATATCTCATTACAAATGATAAGGGCCTAGGCTAACTTATGAATAAAACAGCCCAAAGGCTTGAATAAAAAAAGCCTTTTTCTTCCCTGGGATTTTGATGTTTTTTCCTCGACTATTGCCACAATTAAATACAGCCTCTAACAATAGTGAAGCTCGATTAGTAACTCTATGTACCGTACTCAAGTTCTTCTCAGTTCCCTCACAGACCATGAGCTGAACCTGCAATCAACTATAACTATCAACTATGAACATTGTCCATATATGCAATTTATTAAGAGTGCTATCTTTCTTTTAATTCCTATTATTACCTTATTACCTCCTCTTCGTCTTTGACCAGCCAGAGCGGAATAGACAGCGTCAAACATTTAAAAATAAAACTTTCAATAAAACTTCTATTTACAACTTATGCTTTAGATGGCGGTGGGCGGTCATAAGTTGGTGCTTCCTCAAAATAATCGTCAACTGAGTAAAATATTGCATGTTATCAACCTAATTATTGATACTAGAGCCATTGACTATATAACACTTATATAGTCAATGCTAGAGCTTGTCCAGTGGTCAAAAACTCAGGCAAAAATATGTAATGTAACTTATATACACCCTTATGACTCTCTATTTTCATCCCACTCTGTAAATAAAACATGTGATTGGAATTTCTTCCATTTGTTTTGATTTACTTTATATTTCGTTGTTATTTTGTCACCATCATAGCAGGGTATAAGACCCATGTTATTTTTAAAATTTAAAATTAATTTTTTTTTGTGCTGATTTGTCAACATATTTTAATTTATAAAGAGATTCTGCAAATCTACAGGAAAATATCTTTCTAACAGTATACGTAGATTTCCCATGCGATGAAGTTTGTGCTTGCCAAAGTGCAAGTTTCATGCTTGCCTATTAATTCATGAAGTATTTTTACTGTTAGTCTATGTAGGCCTACATTTTAAATTATCTTGTTATTATTTTTTGATTGAAAGCTATTTAGCTAATCTACAGTAGGCCAACTTAAGGAAATGTTCTTATATATTTAAAATAGGTTCTCTATTACTAAATAAATACCTAAATAAATAACCTTAACTCTGTACGTGTACAGCTTAAATAAAAATTATTTAGATTTGATTTAAATGTTCAATTTTAATAGAGCAGAGGGCATTTTTATTTTTTACTGATACAAATTTACATTGAATTTTCCAGTCAATATTAAAAAGCACTATTCTGGTAGTAACAAAGTTACAATTGAAACCACAGTTACCATGTCAAAACATCCGACAAGACAAGTGTCGAGTCCCAGAAAAGAGGAAGTAGTTGAAAATGTTGACAACACTCGTAATACTTCAGAGGGAGAAGAATCATCAGACGACAAAGAGAATGCAAGTTCCCCTAACGCAAACTGTCTTTTGCGCCAAGATACCAAATCTCGGCTGAAACGTCTTGGAGTACTTTATTCAGGTACCGAACTACCTCCCACATTTTTACAATTTCATATGTTTGAAAGTTTTGAAATGCAAGAGTGAAATGTGTAAGTTACTTCTTCTCCTACTAAAATAAAACTTTTTTTTAGTACACATTATATGCAATAATACCCTTAAGATACTTTTAAACAAAATTTTGTCGACACTAGTGCCCATTGACACACTACATGAACTAGACATTAAAAATAAGCTTCAAAATTTACATGGGATGAGGAATCTTTGTGTTGGTTGGTTTCTGGTTAGTAAATAAAAATACCCCCGCCGCAGCAAACCTGCCGACTAAGCGAATTTCCATTTGTCTTAATTGATTTTCAATTAAATATATTTTAATAACATTAGGTTTAACGAGTACCTAGGTTTGCTGCTACAAGGAAACTAATAAAGTGTGTTTTTTTGTAAAATATTGATAGCTTAGTACAAAATAAATAAATTTGATCAAAATACAAAATATATCCATAAACAAGCAAACTACAACATTTGACAATATTCTCCATAAGAATAACATGGGAATTTTAAATTTACAATTTTTTTAATTTTCTCCGTTACTATTAACCGAACAAAAATACTTTTATATACTAAATTAATTGTTTTTTTAAGCTCTTTAAAAAGGTCTAAAGAGAAATTGGGAAATTTTGTGTTTTGAGGGTCAAAAGTGAGAAAAACCAATTTTTACCCCATAAAACCCCCCGTAAAGCCCCGTTCCCAGGGTCCGATCATGCTGGTTCGCGAACTCATTCAAGTTTATCCCGCTTTACACCTTTAAACCAAATTTCATCAAAATCGGACAAAAAGTACTCAAGTTATCGCGTTCACGGACGTATATATATATATACATATATAAAAATTTGAACGAATGGTGTTTTTGGCCTCTGGGGACATCAAAATAAAAAAGTAAATCGGTCTCGGGTCTAGACCACCCCCCGTGGGGTGGGTCTTACCGTGCCACCTACGGTAATAGCTACTTCCCTATAGGGAAATTCGCTAAAATGCAGCAAACTGAAACAGAAGAGTTACAATAGAAATGTTGACTTTATAACCTTCTTTTACTTTGGTTTTTTTATCTGGTTGTAAATAAAGTAGTGGTGTATACAAATAATGTAGATTAAAACTCTCCAAGGTTTATTTAAATTTGACAAAAAATATAGTTTAATTACAGTTTTGATGAAAAGTTTGCAATACTATAGCCTATCCATTAAATCATTTACATGGCACAGGGCATAGCAAATTAAAATGATGTAATACAAAATTTACAACTAAGATGTTTTTTAAAGAACTTGGGGCGTGCCCTATTTAAACTTTAAGCTTTTTTAAACCTCTAAATACAGAAATCAACATTTCCTATATCACACAAGTTTTCATTCTCTCAAAGTAGTTAAACAATATTAAATACGCTTTCAATTTTTGTCATAAATCATGGTTTTAATAGATGATCCATCAAGACTATCGTCACCAATCCACAAAACTGAGGAACATTTTTACATCGAGGAAGTTAAGGAATCAGAATCCAAACCGATGGTAAGGAATGATATAAGGAGTTCTGGTCGGAGTGCTAGGTTGGCAGCCCTGGCTGATACTATCAACCACTGGGAGGACGACCCCAGACACATACCACTGAAGAAGGTAACATCTAAACATTTTTGCAATACTGTTTGTAAATAAGTTATCCAAATAAACTCAAATTTACAAGTGTTGTAATTTGAGTTAAAAGCCAATATATCTAACAAACATCTAAATCTAAAAGTAAGTAAAAGGACTTTTTCTTACCCACCAATATGTCACTAGTTCCTCAGAATGAATCATATATCATTCATTTCACCCATTGGTTTTCTGATAGTGATAGCATTTTTTCACATTTACTCTACCTTGTAAATACAGATAGGCACAAACATTTTGTATATACTAAGATAAAGGAAAAATCAAGTTGCTTGTTTCTTCATCTATATCTCTTCAACCTATTCTCTAAAAAAGTCCTTCTATAGGACAAAACATCATTGTTATAATTTGTTACATTTTATTGTGTAATTAATTAGCCACAAGCTCTCTATCCCTAAAATGTTAATACAGTATATGAATAATAGTTTAGTAAAATCAGGACATAAATACAAAATCTTCAATTTGAGTTTAGCCTATGTTTACTGATACAGTTGTGTTATATTTTACCATAACAGCCTTCACCAACAAAAACTTCAGTTTTAACAAAACACTCTGGGTATACGAGTAAAAAAGAAGACCAGGATCATAGAAAATTCATTTCCTATCAAAAAGGGAGAGAACCAACTGAGAGGTTCAGTTCTCCCCCTAAAGACATAAGAAACATAAACACCAAGAGTAGGCGACAGAGAACTCCTGAGAAAACAATGCCGTCTATCTTGAAACACAGTTCAGAGACAAGGATTTCCCCGCAGTTTAGAGGTGCTAAGAGCACTAAAACTATTCTATGGGACAAGTCAGTCATGGATTCGCTGGTGAGAAGATCTATTCACTTGTGCATATTGTTGCGGCTCCACCCCTCTTCGTAGCAGTCTATTGTAGATGATTGTAATTTTCTTTGTTGAACAATCTCTGTAAAATAACTATGTGTTTCACAGGCATAATTTCTAAGATTTAGAGGTGTTTGGTAGATTAATGAAAGAAGCGCTTTGATCTTTCATAGTAGATCTCTCTGTGTAGATGTAGTAGTCTTTGACGTAATACCTTTTTATTTTGACTGCTAAAATGAAAATGTAAATTAAATTCAGCTTACGCTATTCTATGATTTACCTAATGTACCTTATAGTGCAAGAATATTACTAACTTGAACAGTTATTAAGGTTTAAAACAAATTCATAATAACTTTATTTATTGTTGTGTATGATTTAAAATTAGTTAGAGAGAGGTAGTGGCATGATTTTGTAAAAATTCGCTTCAGAGAACTAATTAACTAGTAAAAATTTGACATGACATTTAACAGGGGCCAAAGACTGGATTATGCAAACTATAGGTTTAAAGATCTTTAAGAATGTTTGTAGTGTTAACCTATCTCAGGATTAATATTTTTTTACTATTCTACACACGAGAAAAATACAATTTAGAGAAAGGGTTTCATGACAGGATTTTTTTGAACACAAACCTTTAGAAAAATGCAGTATGTAGTGTGTTATCTTCAATAATTATGTACCATCTTTCAGTTTATTTTTACATATTGCCATTAATCCAAGAATCTAGCCAAATCTATAGTTTTTAAGCTACTTTACACCAGTACATGCTGATGATATATCAGACTCAAATACACTATTTTCTCCACCCTTTCACATAAAACCGAAACATTAAATCATCATATTTTGCCATTGATATGTCTATAGTAGAAATCACAAACGCTCATTCATCTCATTTCATCTAAAAAAATATTTAATTTGAATTTAGTTTGGAAAAAGTTAATTTCTAAGAAAGGTTGTCAAAAGTAAGGTTTGTATTTTCCAGGAAGCACAAGGGTTTTCCTCATCTCAGACCAATCATAAGATGGTTTACGACTATGAGAGATCAGGCCAATCTCACAACAGACCATCTCCAACTAGAAGTGTGTCTCCTCAGACGAACTCATCAGATGACAATGAGAGACCAGACCCATCTCACAGTAGACCTTCTCCAACTAGGAATGTGTCTCCACAGATGGTTTATGACTATGAAAGACCAGGCCCGTCGCACAACAGACCATCTCCAACTAGGAGTGTCTCTCCACAGAAGTCTCCAGTGAAGACTTCGCCCGTCAAGACAAGGTAAGTCCAAAACAAATTATACGATCAGTTTTTAAAATGAAATTAGTCAGCCAACGAAATGATTGACAATTGGATTCCGAAGTAGACTACCTACCCATCCATATGGACCAGCGGTTGCAAATCTTTCATTGGAATAGTACATAAGCTTAGTTGTGTGAGCCAGTCACAGAATGTGCTAGTGTCTAAATTCCATTTCCAACCTTATTTTATGTTGTTGATATAGTTGATTGGCCATAACAGTGCTATAGCTCAAAATAAGTTGTTGCATCAGTTTGACTTTGGAAAAAAGTTTGTGTATCCGTTGGAAATATAATTTAGATCAGCAAAATCTGTCAGTGGCTCACATCAACTACGACGATTTTACTACTTCAATCAAATACTGCCTACAACTTTTAACATAGGTATGAAATGTCTAGCTAGTCGAAAAGGAATTACCAAAGTGCATTATTACTTAATCATATACCTGGCATTCTCTTTTTATTTTTTTGTGTGGAAGTATTGAATTTGTTTGATCTACTGTAATGTACTAACCTAAACTAATTATGTACCAATTTAATTCTCTGTACAGGTTTGGAAGCCCCATCAAAATGGGCACAACAGTAGTCAAGGCTCAAGAAGCGATACCCCCATCTACTGATGTTGACACACCGCTACCGACAATGGGAATCAAACAGGTGAATAAAAAACGTCATAAAATGTCAGCTTAGTAGTCCTATGTTACTTCAATTTTAAATAACTCTGAGACACTAGTCAATATTTTAGGCATTGTTGAAACCTAAAGGATATAGCCTAAAATTTAATTTAATCTTCTACTTATCTTTCTATTAAAGGAACGATTCAACTCAATCAATAGTCAATAAGTTCAATAACTCATTTTTAACAAAGCTAAACTGACAGAAAAAATTTATTGAAAACTGTAACATCTAGGTCTTATAATCAACTATCATAGTTTCAAAAACTAACGGAAAAAGTATAATTTTAACTAACAAAAAAATTGCTACAGCTGGTCCTTGCAGGTAGAATGTCTACTTCAGTATTCAAAAGTCAATGATTTTGCACTAAAACATCCCTTTTTCTTAATAATTTTTACAAACACACATTGGTCACAAATTTTGGTCTTTATTGTACATGTGGTCTCACACACAATCCCAAATTGTTGCTCTTTAAGCAGTTACGCAGTCCTCGTAAGATGGCCTCTACACCACCGAGTGGCTCAGTGCTAGACAGAGCTCAACGCTACGAGGAGGCTACGAGTCCTAGCAAGCGAGCGCGAGACCCCACAGAACTGTCACTGGCCGAGCGCAGAGCTCTTTTTGAGCGCAATGCAGGTACAGCTGTACTGCCCAAGGCTCCGTTTGGCCAGGCCGTCCCTGCAAAAAAGCTGCAGAGTAAACCAGAACAGAGGTCTACGTCAAAGCAACAAGGTACATGGATAAGTTTTATCATCACCATTATTATTATTATGACTAGGCCTATTCCTGTTAATTCTTTCATAGTCTACCTTGTATCACTTTAGGTATCGGTAGTTTCTTGTTGTGTTCATCCATATTTTGTTTATCAGTTAATCTTGATTTAAAATCCACCGGTACTCTGTTCCTTAAGTACCTATTTTAATGTATCTGTTTTGTCATTAAAATCATCAAATGCTATGTGTAATGTGTAGCCTAACTCTTTCATTTCTTCTTAAAATTTTTAAATCCTCTAACTTACTTATGGTTATTATTATTATACTGTGTGTTTTTTAAAATTTACATTTGTATTCCCATTGATAAAATCCATTCAATTCAGTAGGAAAAGGACACATTTGGATTAGATAAGATTTATATGATACTGACACAGTGTACATATTTTGAGAGGAAGATGAGTGAAGACTGAGCGTTCAACGAGTGAAATGATTTGTTATTGACTAAGATCAGGTTGTTATGTATGTAGTAGACCACTTATTGACAGCCCGATGATCAAGGACAGATGGGTTCAGTTTTGAACCCTGAAAAAGCTATTGACTTTTCTCTGGTGTAAACCGGTAACCACTTGATTACTTTGTGAGCCCTATTTTAACTACTCTGCTATTATGCAGTCATAATACCTAATCAATCTTAGTGTAGACCACTTTGGTTTTTTCCTAACCCATCAACATTTATTTTTCAGTTTCCACAGGTTCTCTTCACAACAGGGTTGCTGCTTTTCAGAGGACTGCTGAGAACCACGAGAAAGACCATGTGAAGGAAGCTCTCTCCGAGAGGCAGAAGGAGTTGGAGATGTTGAAGAATCGATGTGACAGAAACAAAGGACTGTTAACTCAGAAACCTGATGACTACAAGGTATGTCAGCCAGGCCGAAGTTGACACTTCATTTGACTTAAGAGCATGCAGGGCGTCTCTCAGTAATCGATCTGTATGAAGCTTCTTTCTCAAGACTTGAAGAACATTATTGATCTGTGTGAAGCTTCTTTCTCAAGACTTGAAGAACATTATTGATCTGTGTGAAGCTTCTTTCTCAAGACTTGAAGAACATAATTGTAAAAAATAATTACAATTGAATTTAGACACTCCATGCAAAAAAAGATAGGCCTATGATTTAAAATTGTTAAATGACTACTAGATTGATTTAGATTTAGATCATTAAAAAATGCCACAAGCTGTTTTACTAATATTTACAATAAAAATATCATTAAACACCAAAAGATTTAAATTTAAAAGTCTGGTAACATGTATAATATTGATTTAGGGGTTTTATAAAATTTGACTTAAATTAACTTAGGCATTTTTTAAAGGCTGCCCTTTTAAAATTTATAAAGTTTGGTAAGCAATTTGTTGAAACTATTAATGGAACCTTCATAAAGTGTACCAAGTTTTTTTTTTAAATATCACCAAGGGACTTTGAATTATAAGTTAAAAAAAAATACAGATTATGGCTTAACTAAATCAAAATACTGTAGCCTACTGGACATTTTTGTCTTCTTATGGTACCTATGTAGTGGTACCTATGTGGTACCTAATCAAAGTCCTGCGTAGCACACTACATATTTTTGTCATCCTGTATACAGGGTGTATTGAACTAGTTGTATATATAAAAAAAAATGTAAACTAGATTTTAGTATTCTTGCTGACCTTGACAATTAGGCTTTTCCATAATTCTTAGTTGCTGATCTGGATCAGTGTTAAAGCTATAATCTCATTCATTTAAGCACTCGTCCTTCACTTTCACATTAAAATGCCCATTCTGGTGTGTCAATGTTATACTCAACCTAGTTTTATTATTTTATTATGTTGCAACCTCAGGGTTTTTAGGTTTGTGCTTGGAACTCTCTTTAATTACCAATTTCCTTGCTAATATTTTAATTTGAAACTTTTTTTATGATAATAAAGTTAGCCTTTGATTTTTTTTTTTACTAAATAATTTTATATCGAATTTGGATAAGATTGTTCTAAAACAAAAGTCTTTACTTGAATCAAGATTTTAGGCTATATAAATTTTAACATTATAAAAGGTATAATGTTACCTGGATCTGCCAAAGTAATCCAAATTGCTGTCTAACGACTACGCGTTTCGAAGCAGTATAAGCTTCATCTTCAGGTCGTCAAGAACACATTTCACTCAACCGAGGTCGTCAAATAAATATAATTTTTACACATACATGGACGGAGAATAGTTACTGTAGGCCTACGAACCGCGTGCGCGCACTTAAACACGTTTGTCATGACTGCGGCGGTGAGCGTTGGTCTCGTGAACTTTGTCCCTTGCCGGTCAGCTGTTCCTGGTTAGCTATTACAGTATCATACAATGCATTTGACTGGAAATTTAGTTTGTCGTTTAATAGATCATAACTATGGCTTTTTGTTGCTTTGTATATCTCGTACTCTTCTATGGCGTTCATGAAGCTTCCTTTTGTGCAGAAATGTAGGGGTGTCATATTTGTTTCAAAATTTGTATAGTTATGATTTTCATTAATGAGATGGGCTGCATAATTGGATTTTAAATGATTTTTTGCTTTTGGAAGGTGTTCTTTGAATCTGGTTTTGAAGGCACGGCCGGTTTGTCCTATATAAAAACTATTGCAATCATCACAAGATAATCTGTAAACTCCAGTTTTTTCCCCTGTTTCTAGATTATTACTGGACGAAGGATTTAGTAATCGTTGTAGTTTGTTCAGTTCTAAACGCTACCCCGATGTTTTTCTTTTTTAATTCGTGTTTCAGTATATTCGGTAGCCTTGTACCATACTCTGATGTTACAAAGATTTTGTCAATTGTGCCACCTACTCTGTTAATATCGGCTTTTTTCTTTAATTGTTTTTTGACAAGTTTATCGATCATGGCGGGTTTAAACCCATTTCTTTGGGCAATGTATTTTATCGTGTTTAATTCTTTGTTAAAATTATCTTGGCTTAATGGAACGGTGAGTAATCGGTGAACAAAACTATTATATGCTGCCATTTTTTGTGTTGTAGGATGGTGTGAAGTTTCATGGATGGTTGTGTCGGTTAGCGTAGGTTTTCTGTAAATATCAAATTCAAACGATTTTTCTGTTTTAATTAGTGTTATGTCAAGAAAGTTTAACCTGTCGTTGCTTTCCAATTCTATGGTAAACTGTAAGCTAGGGTTTATTTTATTTATATACTTAGTAAATATCTCTAGTTGTCTTACGTTGCCATCATACAGGATTGCGATGTCATCAACATATCGGTGGTAAAATACAATCTTATCTTTGTAGCGGTTGTTATCTGTCCATATGTTATTGTTTTCGAAACTGTTCAGATATATTTCAGCTAGGATTCCTGAAAGTGGGGATCCCATTGCTAGTCCATCGTTTTGTATATAATATTCATTGTTAAAAGTGAAGTAGTTCTGTTGGGTAACATTATACCTTTTATAATCTAAAACAGTAATCCTGAGACAAGAAACAACATGAAATTTTAACAGTTACGAGGCTACTCGATCCACCTCAAAGATAGGCTAATGTTCTCAAATTGTCCAACACCTATAGGATAGTCTGTAATAATAAGATGGAGATTACCAAGTTTCTTCCAAGTTTCCACATTTCTTCTTGTTTAAACTATTTGAAATAATGAGACTGTTTTGGTTTAGCTTTTCACTTTTTACTAGAAAATATTATAATATAAAAATCACACAAACTAGTTTTTTTAAACTCTCACCCAGCTAGTTCATGGTAGAAGTAGAAAATCCAGTTGTTACCTAACACATGTTTTTCAGCAACAATGTATTCAGGTCTTCTAGATCTTGAAGTTCACTTTTAGTCACTCAGGCCAATTAATATTACAGTAGACTCTTGATAATTTGAAATTGGTGGGCCAAGCATATCAATTTGAATTATCAAGAGTTTTGAATTATCAAGAGTTCGATTTATCGGGAGAAAAATAAACCATTTGAATTACAGAGAGTTTGTTTGTTTAATACATACAAAGGTACAGCACGTTACAATAAAACATCATACCGTATTTTAGTACACTTTTAAACAATCAACGGCTTATTTTTCAGTTACTGTAGTTGCAAAGAAATCTGTTATTTAGCGCTATATATTTCGCCAATAGCTGAACTATCAGCTGTCGACAACTACGTTTGTGCTCAAGGAGATGTCGCGCAATCTAGAAATCGGATTGCCAACTTAGAAAAACAAGTCAGCGAACTAACTCAGACTACTGCTCTAACTAAAAAAACATCAAAACGTCCAACACTAGCCTACCATGGGAACAGGATGTACTGTACTGTATAGTTTCCTGTTATAACAGGAAGAGATCACTTCGAATTATAGAGTGTTTTGCCGACTAAACTTCGAATTACTGCTTGACTTTGATTTATAGAGTGTTTTTTCGACAAAACTTCGAATTACAGCATGACTTCGAATTATAGAGTGTTTTTTCGACGAAACTTCGAATTACTGCGTGTTACAAATTGACCTGCCCTCTATTTGGACTTTGAAATACCGAGTGTATCAAAATGCATGGTAAAAATTTGAAATATTGAGAGATTCTCTAGGGACTGAGCCTTCATTTTGAATTATCGAAAGTTTTGAATTATCAAGTGTTTGAATTACCAAGAGTGGACTGTATATGAAATTTAATTTGGGTAAATTACTTTTTGAGATTTGGTTTAGATATATATAATTATTTTTACTTTAGCTTGTGTTTGAAATAGATTTTAAACATAGTATATTTTAAATAGGCTTTTAGGCTTAATTGACTGGTAATAGGCTATTTATATATTATTTAATTATACAAAATTGTATGAACTGTTGCAATATCCCCGCAGAAACTGAATATTACAGGTAATATGAGGTTTCGATACACAGTGAAATAAATTTTGGTTTGAAATGTGAACATTTAATAAAATAAGACTTAACTATTAATGAAGAACGGTGGGTGGAACATGGTTATTGAAATACAAATACTTAATCAACACAATTATTGAATCATGAACAATATAACAACAAAATTATAACAATTAATAACATTAAAGATATGAGAAAGGAAGTACTATTGTTTATGTATTGGGGACAATGGGGTAAAATGACTTTCTCATCACTATTATTATAGTTCATATGAGTTATTGTTCCTTAACGTCTTTCCTCACTTCACACTTTTTAAGTTAATATTTCATTACACTGCAGAGCGTCTATTTTATGTTTTTAATTTACATATTTCTTCTGGTATTTAATTCACTTTGAGGAGTGTTTATTTTATTTACATTTAACTATTTACATGGGTTTAAGGTCTCTCTACACACACTTTTCATTTAATTTTCTTCAATTTAAAATTTTCTTTAAATATACTATTATTCTTCATACATATACTTTTGATTATTAAACTTGTATCTTCGGCTGAGGAGGAATATATCTTTTTAGTGCTGAAATGTGGTAAGGCCCAAATATCTTCTTGTCATCTAGAGTGCTTACATTATAAGTTGAATGTCCTAAAATTGTACTGATCTTGAATGCACCTTCGTAGACTTCCTGTATTTTTACTCATATTTAAGTTAGGATTGTAATAGTTTGTTTGCATATTAACACTATCATAATTATCTTCATAATATTTATCAACATTATTTTCGTTCTCAATGCTTCGCCTTGGGCTTTGCTCAAATACAAAATTGCAATTTATACCTTCAACAGATACCTCTCCGAACTTCAAAGTAATATTATTATTATTAATCGTCAATTTAATCACTTTTTCTTTAAAATTAATTTCAAACTGCCATATATTTAATACATCATTCCCAATTATTAAATTCCTAACTAAGTTTGGTATGAGTAAAACTTGTAGTTGAGTTTCTTCATTTTCTATCATTACAGGTAACATTATGATTTTAGTTATGCGCTTAGATCGATCTCCTGTAGCGGTTTTAATATGTGTATTTGTAATTGGCAATTCTTCAAAATGACCTATGTGGTGTTTATTTTCTAGGAACCATTTTTCCGATATACATGTTACATTAGAGCCGGTGTCAATTAGGGCATTTATCTTCGATTTATTAATTGTAACACTAATTTCTGGAAAATCAATTTGTTTAATCTCGTGGGAATCATTAATTGATTCATCTTCTTCACTTAATAAAAATTCTCTGTCACAACAGATTACATCGGTTTCATAACAATTATTTAATTCATTATATACATTTGGCCTTATTTTTCCGAAGGAATTTTCTTGCACTGAAGAGACAATTGAGGGAATATTATTTTGAGGGGAAGTGGTGTGTAGGCCATTTTTGCTCTCAGTGCTCTTTAGTTTAAATCCGACTTAGGCCTATGTGGTTGGTCGGTTTTATCGATTATGGTGGTACAGACTTGTCGTTGTTCTGGGGTCATATAATTGGGTTCAGTTCGGTTTCCGTTCCTAGTGGGATAATTATTTGAATTTTGTGGAAATCTGCCTTGTGGGTATGGGAACCAGTTTTGTTGGTTTGGCCGGTTATTGTATTGTTGGTTGTGGTTGTATGGTCGATTGTTTTGTTGATACTTCATGTCATATCTTGGTTGGTATGCATTTTGGTTGATGTTATTAGTGCGGTCAGGATATCTGTTTTGTGGTTGTGTGTTATAGTTAGGCCTTGGTTCATTTCGGTTTGTCACTGGTGTATTGTGTGATGGGGAATGGTTTTGTTTATTCCGGCGATTTCCGTCTTTTATATCTTCACGCTGGAGGATCGCTTCAAATGCAAATATTGTGTTGGCATTCTGTACTATGCGGGCATCTTGTATTAGTTCACTGAAGTGATCGCTTAACAATGAAATAATTTCTTCGTCAGTCAAAGGTGGGGACATTGATTTCAACGTTATGACTCTCTCTGTGAAGTATTCTGAACGGGTCAGTTTTCCTCCAGGACGGTACCTCTCGTTTTCCAATCTATGACGATTTCCACGCTGTACTGATTGGCTCCAAAATTTCATGAGAAACATGCTCTCAAACTCATCCCATGTATTAATATTATTTTTGATAAGATAAAACCATCGTGAAGCGCTCCCTTCTAAACTCATCTCTATCGTATCGATTAGGAATTCTTTAGGGTCGGTTGTGGGACTCTGGCGAACCATATTGCGACAGTAATATTTTTGTAGTTTGTTTAAGAACTCTTTGGGGTTGTGTGCTCGTCCAGTGAATTTAGGTACGTCTGAGTCAACATTAGTTCCGCTACCGCAAGATACATAAATGTTAGGGGTGAATGTACTCTGTTTAACAGTGGCTTCGTGTTGTAGAGATTCAATCTTGTTATGATGTTCACTTAGTGTTGTTTTCATATTTTCTATTAATTCAATGTTTTGTTCAACTCTGTCTTGATTTGCTTTAATCTGTGGTTCTAGTTGTTCTTGAATCCGTTGAGTGTTTTCACTTACTGTGTGTCTGAGTTGTTTATGTTGTGTTTCATATGTTTCCTGAATTTGACTTTTAATATTATTTAAATTAGTATTCATAGTCTGGCTCATCTCTTCCCTAATAATTTTATTTTGGGTATGGACTAAGCCATTTACTTCAGTTTTATGGGCATTTAGATCTGCTATCAGGTCCATTTTTAGATTATAGGAGATTTCGGCAATTTGGGTAGTTAATTTAGATTCAATTGATTTCATTTCCTCTGATTGTTTTTGTTGATTTTCCTTCACATAGTTTAATTCCAATTGTAGTTTATTTTAACCAACCGCAGGGGGCTGTTTGTTTAACCGCAGGGGGCTCACGCTTGCGTGGGTTCGTGGCCTGGGCGACCACGCGGACCCTAGCTCTCCCAGAGGGGAGGTAATTGCCCGGTGTTGGAACCGGCACTTCAGGTAGACCACAAGCTATGGACGACTGGACAAGCCAGCCTCTTTGGGTTTACCCAAAGTGAGAGTACCCAGTGACATTCCCTCCATTCAGGGTGGTGGGGTGTTCAGCTCTGCTAGTGTTGATTAAGTTCATAGATCTTTCACCTGCCTGTAGCTTGTGGTTGTGACTGAGTCCTACCTGTCGTGTACGACTGACATTTTGTGAGGCATATCCTCGACTTTGGAAGTAGCCTCGTCCTGGGAGGTGAAATACCTAGCCCCCAGAGGGGAGGTAAATGCTCCGTGTTGGTATCGGCATTTTCAAGTTGGCCACAGACATGGACGACTGGGCATTGGGTCCCAGTGACATTCCTTTATCCAGGATGGAGGGGTGTTTAGCTCTAGGAGAGATGGAAGTACATCATAATCTCTAACCTACCTGTGTCTGTGGTTCTTTGGGCTTCGGCCTGCTTGTTGTGTGCGACCAGCATTCAGTGGGCAAATCCTCGACTTTGGAAGTAACCTTTCCTGGAGGTAAAAACGGGCAAGTACCCGCAGCTCACGGGGACACTCAAGGGCAACGTAACTTTCCGCAGTGTGAGGGCAACGGTTTGTAGGTACTTATGCAAACCAATCCCTGTCTCTGAGCACGGACGGTATGGTTATCTTGAGTGTGGGGGGTTCTTCCCGGAACCTCAATTGAGTCAAGGGTGTCGCCACCTCTGGTGGATAGGTTCATCCGGGTGGATCCCACTTCTATACCTGCCTCCTTTTGGGAAACCCTGATGGCCTGGCAGTGATGTTGGGTCTGACGGGCAAACGAAGTAGATCGGGTGCTGGGTCCGAGCCCGCCAGGGGTATCTGGGGATCTATCGCTCTGGTTATCTCTGGTTTCCCAGCAATGGGTAAGGCCTCGATCGGGCAGCGGTGTAAATGGGAGGTTCCCGTCAGCGTGCTGACGGTCCCCTTCCTCCTGGCTATCGATGGCGGGTTCTGCCTGTCAGGGATTAGATAGGTCCCGAGTGTTGCTTGCACTAAATGCGTCGGGGCGCTCTACCATGGACCTCTAGGTCTCGACCTAGTGGAACCCAGGTGGAGTGACGCTTAAACAAGCAGCCGGAATCCCTGGTTAGGATTGAGGGGCAACCCTCCTTCCGAAGGGTCTGCTTCGGCAGCCGGCGAGCCTGATGACCTTAAGTCATCCGCCCATGATGTGCTAAAGGTTGATGCGTAAGCTTCGGCCTACATCATGGGGCCCGGGTATGTCCTAAAGGATAGGTACCGGGTATGCAGTCAGGGGGCTTCGGCTCTCATGACAAAACGAAATGGAATGGAATGGAAATGGAATGGAATGGAATGTAGTTTATTTTGTGATTCAGTGATAGATTCAATTTTAGTATCAAGGATTTTATAGTGGGTCTTTATTTCATCTTTAATGCTGGTTTCCAACGATATCATTTTATTATCCAAAGATTGGAATAGCGTTTGAATTTGGGCCATAAAGTCCGGTAGTTGAGTGACGGCACTTGTTGTAGCGTGATGAGAAGCTCGCTGTGATTGATCGTCATGAAACTGTGTTGTGATTGGCTGTTGTGTTTCGGTTGCCATCATAAGGAATGTAGGCCTATCAGCTGTCATATTCATTCCCATCATTCCTTGTTCATCGTTCACCGGGACGTTGGTTTGGTGTTGGTCGGTAAAATTTGTTTGCTTTGCGGCTACGGCTACAATTTCCGATCGCGATGACTCGGAATCGTGGAATGATTGCTCATCGAAGGATTTGTTTTCTGCTTCTGCGTGTGTTTGTTGTGATAATGTTTCAGGGCTTTTCGCTGTTAGTGTGCATGATTCATCTTCACTAATATCGCTGGTGTTAGTGTTTGTGTGAATTTCAATGTTGTTGTCGTCTTGATTATGATTGTCACTATCCCCGCTATTTTCGACTAGTTTCCTAGAGGGTTTAGGGTTTGGGCGTAAATTGTATTGACTCGTCATCTTGGATTTCTTTAACTAACAGGTGACTGATAGGCTAATTATGAAAGGGGAAACAGGTGGGGAATCTTAACTTAGATACCTTTATAATAGTACAACACTCTTATAGGCTATTCTTAGTTTAACCTAAAAATCACTATTTCAAACACATAAGCTAGGCCTACTTGTATTATTAGCAAGGTTTGGTCAATAAGAGAGCCCCACTCGTTGCGGCGCCAATTGCAACCTCAGGGTTTTTAGGTTCGTGCTTGGAACTCTCTTTAATTACCAATTTCCTTGCTAATATTTTAATTTGATACTTCTTTTATGATAATAAAGTTAGCCTTTGATTTTTTTTTTTACTAAATAATTTTATATCGAATTTGGATAAGATTGTTCTAAAACAAAAGTCTTTACTTGAATCAAGATTTTAGGCTACCTATATAAATTTTAACAGTTACGAGGCTACTCGATCCACCTCAAAGATAGGCTAATGTTCTCAAATTGTCCAACACCTATAGGATAGTCTGTAATAATAAGATGGAGATTACCAAGTTTCTTCCAAGTTTCCACATTTCTTCTTGTTTAAACTATTTGAAATAATGAGACTGTTTTGGTTTAGCTTTTCACTTTTTACTAGAAAATATTATAATATAAAAATCACACAAACTAGTTTTTTTAAACTCTCACCCAGCTAGTTCATGGTAGAAGTAGAAAATCCAGTTGTTACCTAACACATGTTTTTCAGCAACAATGTATTCAGGTCTTCTAGATCTTGAAGTTCACTTTTAGTCACTCAGGCCAATTAATATTATATGAAATTTGATTTGGGTAAATTACTTTTTGAGATTTGGTTTAGATATATATAATTATTTTTACTTTAGCTTGTGTTTGAAATAGATTTTAAACATAGTATATTTTAAATAGGCTTTTAGGCTTAATTGACTGGTAATAGGCTATTTATATATTATTTAATTATACAAAATTTTATGAACTGTTGCAATGTTTCTGTTTTTTTTGTTGTAGCCTATCATTATTTGTTTAAATTTCAGCCATCAGCTCCACCCCCAACCCCCCCACCACTGCCATCCCCACCGCAGAACTTTGATTACGGCAGTAGGAGAAATAGTAGTTTCTATGAACAAGAAGAGGAGGAATACCCTGAAATGTCAGAACCTCAAGACTCTCCAAAATTTCTTAAACCAAAAGAAGGTATATTGCTTATCTACAACTATAATATAAAATATTTATATTAGTTTGATTAGAATACAAGATAAGTATAGTTATTGTTACTTATTTAATTATTAAAAACACAATTTGTTCATAAAAGGTGTAGGGTAGGATAACTACATAATTGATTCTGAATTCTGATAGCCTTACTGTCTCTATTCCTTGATAAACATTACATTTGATTCAAAATGAAGGAATCATTTTTCTTTTATCTAGGTTATGTATTATGTTCTTTACTCAAGCAATGCATATCATGCATGATTATTAGGGAAACATTGAGTTCCCAACATGTTGAACTTTCAATTAAGAGCTATAACACAGCAATCAATGGGTTAGTTTTGTTGGTTGTATAATTCAAACAACATTAAAATTCACAAAATAGTCTTATCACCCCATAAAAATGAAATGAGTATTTTACACATATTCTCAGTTACTATTAGTCAATCTTCTTTCATCTTTGTTCTTTACAATTTAAATTGAAACCAACGTCAAGACATCTCTCATAAGTTTAAGTATACGTAACAGCACTGCTAAAGCATAGTAAGCATCAACTAAAACATGTAAAGATAAAACACAGTGTAAGACTTTTCTTGATCGACAGCATATCCAGTGCTGAAAGATGTCAAGAAGATAAAGCTGTCTCCACCCAAGCCAGGCCACCTGTATCCTAACTTGTCTGATATGGAGGTAGAGAGCAGTGAGGCTGCAGAGTTGGACAGTAGTGCCAACACGAGTAACAACAACAGGTGGGGTGTTCTCAACTGTGCTCATTAATTCATTCATGAATGCAATAAAGGACGGCAGCCCTAATTGTAAGAATTGTTTTTAATGCTTGATATTGTTAATGGTAGTTTCACATTTGACTACAACGTCTGGATTGCTGAAAATAAAATTCCATTCACTTAATAAGTTGTTACTAGATTAAAAATTAAGTTGCTGTAAACTTGCTGTTGTTCTGATACCCCGAGACTTGTTAGAACTAAATATAAGGTGAACCATTAGACGGTGTTTAGGAAACCAATTGGGTAATCTTCACATTCTTTTCTGTTTCATTTTGTTATTTTTCTAAGCTGTCACTTTTATTCCCTTTTTAAAATGTGTCCAACAGATCTTTATTCAAGTCAAGTCAAGTCAAAATTATTTATTCCATAAAATAAAAACAATATTACAATACATTTTAAGTAAAAGGAATTATTCCCCCGAATAGACTATTGATACGTGATCGGGGGAAGAGTTAACAATATCATCAGTCTATGGGTATTGTAAAATTGTTCTAATCACTGCACTTTTTTTCTTTTAAGCACATAAACTAAATAAATCTAAGCTCTAAACTAAATAACTGCATTTTAAATGCTAACACAATTTTAATTCTAAAATGAGGTGGATTACTTTTTATCATTAAACACACACCTACAATGCACTACGCTGTACAAGATTCAGCCCATTGTATTTATTCCAACACAATGGGCTGAACCCCATAGAGAAACAATATGGATTACAGTTTTACAAGTAAAAATATTAAAAAAATATATATAAAAAATGTGACCAATGACCAATGACTGAATCATGACAATATCAGACGTTTGGAATATAGACCGACTGGATCAAAGCCTCTGCAGCAGCCCGCCCGATGTGCGCGAGCCACTCGCCGATCATCCGCTTATAAACAGCAACACTGCAACTCTCAGCCTCAATAATGTTTGTTGGAAGATTACGGTACAGGACGTGAGCAATATAAAATGAATTTTTGTTAGCGGTTGTAAGAATAGATTTTGGGCAACTGAAGCCAAAGTTTAAACGATTTCTTGTAGGGTACCTATGGTGAATATCAGAAAATATTTGTTCTTTATTGGATTTAATGAATAATAAAATAATAATGTTCTTATGAAAAGCTGTCTGACGTTTAGTACTGGAAAATCAAGGAAAAGCTGGTCTGTTGAGTAACGGAAAGGTTTTTTAAGAATTTTTTTGATCAATGATTTTTGTGAGATGAATAAGGGCTCTAACACAGCTGACGAGACGCCACCCCATGCCAGGACACCGTATTGTAACACTTGTTATTACTTCAATACACCACTACTCTCTTATATCTTTATTAGTAGCCTACTGTACATTTTACAGTTTCGCAATCTCTACTATTCTCGCTATTACTATTACTCTTGCTCCCTTGTAGATCAAATAGAGAAGTATTCAGGTATAACATGTTATTGATATGTTTTTATGTATTTGTAGGTCAACATCATCTTACATGTCCGATGAGTCTGATTTGCACAGCCTAGGACAAGACATAGTTAAACTGTCTAGATCTAACTTGAAGGTGAGTCATAAATTTAAAATTATAGTAGGTTATGTGTACCTAGTATTTTTTATTTGATGTATTGACAATAGTTTTAATGCATCCTAAATGTCTAAGCCTCAAACGGGTATTTTTGTACTAAAAGCTATGTTTAGCCCTGAATAAACTATACTTTAAGACTGCATTTGGAACTCTAAAGAAACACTAGGAATTAATTCAGCACAAAATTTAACGGAGTGTTTTGTGTTTCTCTGAATTAAGTCCTATCAATATACTGCATATCAGATACTGCATTATGCCACGTTTCTTAAATGTGGTCACAAATCTATATATCTAATTCCGTAAGCCCAAAATTTTACAATGAAATTGTGAGCGAACTGGAGGCCGTAGAAAGCTGGGAGGGGTCTCATTTTAAAGGTCTGGGCATGAAGTTTTGGGGAAAAATACTCATTTTTCTTACTTATGCACCAAAAGGTTATTACAGGATAAAATAAATCACATTTAAATAGCATGGGAATCCAGGTCATGTCCGATTTGTTTACTTTAAAACATGTGGTTTAGATTTATTTAAAGCATATGGTAATATCATTGACTATTGGCTACAAAAGTTGTATTAATAGTGTTAAAGGTAGTATGTAATATATGTATTGTATGTAACTATAGTGCATTTGAAAGTAAACATGCGTGCAAATGAAAATGAAACAGCATTTTGTGATTGGCTTCTACGCTTATATTAGGTAATGGAATCTTAGAGAGCAATAGGGCAACACCGGCAATTGACATTCCAGATAACTTTGTTCTCTCTGATTGTGCAATTGTTTATGGCAACTCAATAAATCCAGAAAATATTCAAAACTACTCCAATCAAATAATTGTATGTCCTTTAAATGAACATTGTGATAATTTAAATGAAGAAGTATTAAAAATCTACTACAGTAATTATGAAGTAGTTTCAGAAGACCCTACAGAGAGGTTGAACATACCAATTGAGTTTATAAATTCAATTACACCATCTGGAATGCCACTACACAAATTAGTTTTAAAAGTTGGTTCAATAGTGATGCTCATAAGAAATAGGGTCTGGATTAGTTAATGGAGTACGATTGGTTGTGTTGGGTATGTCTGAAAAAAGTGTAAAGTTAGTAGTAATTACTGGAGTAGGGAAAGGGAACATATTTTTCATGCCAAAAATAAAACTAATATCTACAGATCCTAATATGCCCTTTAAATTTACAAAGGATTCAATTCCCATTGCGATTATCTTTCACCATTACTATAAATAAAGCGCAAGGCCAAACCTTCCCAAAAGTTGGAATTTATTTGAAAAAAAAAAAAAAAACAGTGTTTACCCATGGTCAACTTTATGTTGCTTTTAGCCGGGTAAAGCGGCCAGATGACGTTAAAATAGAAATAGAAACAAATAAAGACCAAGGAATGGACCAAAATGGATACTACACAACAAATGTTGTTTTCAGAGAGATTTTGTTACAGAATTAGTATTTTACAATTTGGAAGATGACATTATCTCTATGTGTTGTGTTTTTCTAAGTGAATTTGTCTATATAAAAAAAAAATGTATATATATTTAATTAATAGTGAAGATTATTGAAAATGTTCTTTTGCTGTATTATGATTAGAAAATTTATGTTACAAACCCACCACATGAAGAGTCCTTTTGAATTTTTATCCTAAACAGAGCAGACATAAAAATGAATTATGCAGGTATGTGATAACTGTTATACATTATTATAATATACAAAAAATTTAAACGATAATTCAAGGTAGGGTACGGTAACCCATGAGACAAATAATTTGTACAAAATAATTATTAGAATATATTACATATACTGTATATAGGGGCTATTGCCCCTACAAGCCACTAGTATTTAATTATTTAGCAAAAAAACTAACAACTTTGTAGTAGTCTAGTCCTTTTTTATGTGGAAATTTAACGAACGTTAAGTGTACAGTGTTGACAACCTTTTACTTAATACTCTTAACTGAAATGGCGACCATACGAAGGTAAGTAGCCTATTTTAAGCCAAGTATGAATGGAGAGAGTGTGGGATGAGTGGTGCGACCTGTATAGAGTAGTGCACTACTATAGATAAGTCCTGGTTCTTCATTTTGGTCTGGTTTGATGAAACATGTTGAATTATATATAAAAAAAAATTAATTTGAAGCAAAGATGATAAAACTTAGAGTACTAGAGAGTAAACATGACAATTGTGGTGAATTGTAGAGGAACTGGTCTGCCAGTGAGGGATCCAGATCTGAAGCAGAAGGTCAAGAGATTGATGATTTCCTTGATGATGCTTTGAACACCTCAGACCAGTCAACACCACCGAAACGCATTTCTTACAGCGTGAGTGAAAATGTAGTTGTCAATATTTTTGTAAAAGTAAACAAATATACCATGCAGTTTTTTTTAGTATCAATAAAACTTATAACTTTTATTAAAACCCTGTGGGGGTTTCCATCAAATTTTGTATGTTTATCTGCCTATTATTGAAGAAAAATTAATCGTTAATCATAACAGACCAACTATTGGGTTTTTTGTTTTTTCACATTGATATTTCATTTCAGTGAACAAACCCAAAACATATATGTTTGCCAATTACTATGAAAAGTACCATAGGAAGATAAGTTCAACCAAAACCCCAGATAGGCCAAAACACTTAGGCCTTTTAATAATTTCCTATAAGAGATATTTTGTCATACCATAAATTATCACACTCTTGTCCTAATGTGATGCTACTCAAAGTGCCTCCCCTTCCCGCAATTCCCTACTATTCAAAGATGTAAATGTTTATTTGAACAAGATTGCTCACCTGTCCAGTTGATGTCATGGTACTAAGACTAACAAGTAGAAATTAAAAGTGGTGATTATATAACCATTTCTTGATGTGTCACACAATAGTCTCTAAACTGACTGTAGTTGTCTCCACATATTTGTAGAGCCTTTTTATTCTAGCGTTCCTTAAAATACAGCAATCAATTACCGTATCATTTCACACCTCATTCAAGGTGAACATAATACAGTGGAACCTCAATAACAAGACCCTCAACTACAAGTTTTTTTTTCAAATCTTAAATTTATTTTACCCCACATCACATTGTATTGCAAACCTTGTCAAACTTGATAACAAGTCTTATTTAATAATCCCCATGAGAGTATGGTTCTCGAGGTTCTACTGTACCTCTCTACTTTCCCCCTCTACGGCATGATGTAATGAAATGAATGTTAACTTTCAGAACAACGCTGGGAGTGTACACTCAAGAAGTTTTGAATATTCACAAAACAACCAACAACAAGAAGAATCATACAAACAGCCTCTACTGCACACAGTCAGCTTTTACAGAAAACAACAAAACATGGTTAGTATGGTTCTGTCCTAGTTAGACTTTTAACATGTTATAATGTTTAAACAGAGTATCTATCCTACAGATCTCAGATATAGACCCATGGCCCCATGCTATATATTCTAGAATCACATAGATATGATTCCCTTATGATTCAGTTTAATGCTAGTCTCTAAAAACCTTGGGATTTTATACCTATCGCTTTTATTTTGTCTAGCAATATTATTGCTATCGTAGGAGATGTTTGTAAAGTTTACATAATCAAGAATTTAAGATGTCAAAACGATTGCAAAAGATGATCACTTAGATGGGGCTAAAAGTCGTTTAAATATTTTACACATAATATATCACTTACAATTTCTTAAAAATGCCATTTCTTATACGTCCATCATGGTAAACCTCGAAAGTCTCTTGACTTTTTTATGGTAGTACTGTAGGTGGTTATCATTTGATTAATACGATTAATTTAGTTAAATTTACTCACATAATAAACAGGAAATAAATATAAATCAAATATTAACAAAGTTGTCTGAAATTGAATGTCTTGAAACAAAATATGAACTAGTCAAAGTTGATTTTGTTAACAGTTTTTTTTTCTAATACAAGCTGTGATTGGACTGATGTATATTTTCTAGACTCTAAAACCTCCATCACCGACAAGACAGGTACGAATAGATCCATCCGAGTACTCCACAGACGACAGTATTGAGCGGATGGAGGAGGAGTTGGACAGAGAGCTCAAGCTGGTTGAACAAAAGATTGCTGTATTGCAACAAGAGGTAATGTCTAACTGAACATTTTTTTAAAAGATCCTCTTAATGTTATTGCACCTTTCCATCTGTTACTTTTTCAATGGGGCATAGTTCAGAAAATATATTGGCGATAGTAACCTTACAGTAGTTATTTACACTTACCTAACAGATAAATTTCATTGAAACTAGGTATTTACCTTTGTCTTCAATCTGTTCTAACTTGCGTTACAGACATTTCGGATTTATAATGCCATTATAAGACAGAATATTCAGCTAAAGCAGCGTCGTTACAGTAGACACACATAGCTAAATCTTCTGTCTGATGATGGCATTTTAATGCCAAAATGGCCGTTGCACAAGTTACAACAGATTGAGCTGTAGACAGAGGTAAATACCTAGATTTTTAATTATATCACAGCTCAGGAGCCAAAACGTGGATTTTAATGGATAATTTTCATACAGATTAGTCAAGCTATCCATATTTGGCCCCCAAGGTCATGGGTTCAAAACCTACCTATCACCAATGGATTTATCTGATAGTGCTTGACCTCTAGGACTAGCCTGAAGTAATTTGTAACACGGTTTCAGGCTAAAGCCTATTATCCTAGCATATAAAGGTGGAACAGAAAACAAATCTCCAGTTTTTGTATGTGTTTCATGTGTCAGAACTAAAGGAAGTTTATACTTTGGTATAAAATCATCTTGTTATACTGGCTTGCAGGTAATCAAGCAGCAGTCGTACATTTCCCAAGCCAGCCAAGCTCTCAATCTGTGTTACTCCACAATTGAATTCTCAGGGTCAACAGAACAGCTGGAGGCTGAAAAGCTCCTTTTGCTTGCAAGTAAGTTATAAGTATAAGTCAAATACCAAACCTTGTACACAGATCGTCTTTGTATAATGTTTTGATTTAGGACTCAACTCCAAGAATCTATATCAGTTTCCATGTTAAGTCGTGAGAGGTTTTTTAATGATCAGTAAAACTCTTTACGTTTGGTTTATCTGCATTTGCTTGGTTAACATTATTTTTTCAAATGCTTTAAAAAGTCCCTAAATATGTACAAAAATTTATTTGATTCACCTATAATGATACTAGGAGTGTTTATCTATTAAATTCCTCTTTATTGAAGTAAACTTAAGACTTTATGGTCTTTCTTTCTTTAAAGATTACTTCTATCTACAGTTTTTTAAAAGACTACATATCTATATTGCATTATCATGTCTCGTTAGAAGAAGTACAGTAATCTATACTTGTTTAATACGCAAGCAGGAATTTTGTGACAGTTACTCCTCCGAAACTACTGAACCGATTGACATGTTTTTGGTGTCATTGGAAAGAGCGTAACGTGAAGTTGTGCAGGAAACATTCTTTTTAGGTAAATAATTAGAGAGTGAGGCCCTGGACCCTTTAAAGTTTCGAATTTCTCCATAAGATTAACATGGGAAACAAATATTGTTTTGAAACTCCAGCTGTTGTCAGAAATTAAATATTAATACTTTTGTCTCCATGGAAGCATGAGAAAATTCACAATGTTTACATTTGCTTTAACATTTAAAAGTAAACAACCAGAACTGTCAAACGCCTATTTCACAATTTCAGACAGCTGATCAAAAAAAATAAAACAATGTGGTAGGTTTATTTAATCTTAACCCTCTATCTGGCGCTGGTCGATTTTCGACCACTAAAACGTGAGTTCTCAGTGGCGCTGGTCGATTATAGACCAAGATGACATGGGTCGGGTTTTTCTATTATTAAAATATGAAAACAGTTTTAAAACGCAATAAATCTTATACCATTAGAAAGATGAGATTCTGAGGATTCATTTTCATGCATAAAACATTATTGAGTGAGTATTATGTAGCGAGAAACGGTAGTTTGAAAAACTAGAGAGTTCAAAATAGATTTTGGCGGTGGAAAGTTTTGGTCACCTGACTACAAAAACAGCTGTTTTTGGTGATTGTCTATTAAATTGTATACAATATTAGTACATATTCTGAAACTACAATAAATTCCCTACAATTCCCTGTGAATCTATAAGGTTGATTGTAAAATTTTTATTTGTTTTTAAAAATGTCATAAATATTATGTTTTTGTAAAAATATCTTCAAAATTTTACATTCCGACGTAAATTTCACCGACATTTTTGAATTCAACTAAATATAACTATATATTTTCAGAAAGATCTTTTTATTACCTATTGTACAGTATCATTTCATTTTTTGTTGATGCATTCTATTATTTCCTACGTGACAAAAAGAAATTTGGTAGCCTAGTTTTTCAAAAAATAAAATATGTATGAAGAATTTATTTTTTTATAATTTTATTTTTATGAGTATTTAAAAAACATTGTATTTCTACGTAGGGAATCATATTTCACACAAACTTTACATTTGGATAAAATGTGTAAAAAAATTATTTTGTGGTTTTCTTGTGGGTTGCTTTTGAAATTTCTAATTTGCATAATCCAAAAATTTGCAAACCTTTTGCTACTACGCCTAAACGCATTGCTAGGAAAAGAATATTTTTATATTATTATATTCTAAATTCATCACTGAAATAGAAAAAAAATATATATATGTGTGTACTTATATTCACAAATAAATGTTCTGTGGGAAAATATATGATACCACTAGAAAAGCGCCAAAATATACCCGCCACTGGTGAATAAAATGACCGCCAGATCTAGGGTTAAACTTTATGATAGATTATTTATTATAAACCTATTTCAGTGATTATGAAACAGATTTTTTCCGTTACAAAGCAAAAATTAAAAGTGAGAAGATGAACATATGTTAATTGTAAACAGTCAATGTGTAAATAGTCAATGGTTGTATTAAAAATGTGTATAGTTTTGGATGTTGGTTTGTGTTTAATGATATACCGGTAAGTTATTAATTATTGAATTTTTATTTTAAGGATTTGGCATTATGAGTATGCCTATGATAAATAACACCATTTCAGAGTTCTGCCAGTTTTTGCCTAACTCTGTTCTGTAGAGTTTAAAATAGCCTACACCTTTATTGTCTGCAAATTTACTAAATAACTTAGGTACGGTACATTATAAAAGCTGACAGCTTTTTTATGTTGACTTAAATTGTAAGTTTACCTTTCCCCGTCCATCGGCAGTTTGATAGTTAAAAATTAACCCTTTGGAATAGGACAGTTATGTAAATTGTGAGTATTTCCATTAGTTAATAATCTTTTAGTCGACTTTTTTAAAATCATCGAAAATTATGACTGTTAGGTATTAGTTTTTAAACGTTTATAAATAACTCCTGTACTTCTTTGCAATTGCTCGATTTCGAGCAACATGTACACTAGTATGTAACATTGTGTGATTGTACAGCTCAAAGAAGACAAGCAGCTCTACATGAGATACAGAGACTGAGGGTAGAACAGACACTGAGACCTCAGAGCACAGACAACAACAGTCTGACTGAGAGAGGCAGTCTAACTCTCTCACAGGTTACCCTACCTCTTAAAATGGACGTTATACACCGTGCTGCTAAAGGTATGTTGCCCAAGAACTTATTCTGTTTCTCAATTGAAAGATTGTATCAGTGTTGGCTGTAGGAGTGTAAAGTCAGCTGTAGTAACTTAATATCTTCATGCTAGAGAGTGTTACTGTAGGCATGACAGTTGATTTGGAAAGACAAAATATACACTTATCATATAGTCAATAGACAGACATCTTTAGGTGTAATTTCTTTAAGAAATAGGCCTACATTTGTGTCATATACTTTGAAATGAAATTTTCCTCCATCTAAGGATTTCTTAGTCATTCTGGGTACCCCACGTCATAACTTAACTTTTCATAACACACAGAAATCTGGGTCTCTTACTATCACAAACACTATTAGTACTTAATTAGAGATGGTTAGATACAGATAATCTACTGTAAACATTGGTAGTCAGATCTCACTATTATTTTTATTTGGTTGGTGATAAAATTAATTTATTTTAATCGTGTTCGCACCAGACTTCCGTGCCAATGAGACATTGAGATATATTCCTGCGATCTTAAGAGTCACATCTTAATAATTCCTAAAATTATTAGAATCGCACAAAAATGTCTACTATTCAGGACTCTTGACATATCTATTCATTATCCAGATTTCAGTTTGTTTACTGCCTTGAACAAAATGTATGGATGCCTAGAGTCTATTAAGTCTCGTGTTTGAATCTATCTTTGCAATTTGTTGGACTTGAGATTAAGGTTTGACAAATCACTTGTTAAATCATTGTTAATCATTACAAACTAAACACTACATTGTAACTGAGTTTATCTATGATTCCAGATGACCAGTGTTACTACCTACTATGCCTGGTGCACCACAACGAGGAAGTGTACAGTACGGATGTGATGTGTGCTCCTCGTCACCTACACCACCACAACCAACTTACCTTCCCCAACACATTCACTCTAGACAACGTCTACTCTGACTTCAAGGTCATCATAGAGGTGTACGGGATGACGGCTAGGAGCAAGGAGCACATCCCTCATGATGTCAAGTACCATATCAACACCAGCAAGAAGGTAATGTAGAGCACAAGGTCAGTACCGGACTTATGGTACTTGCGGCTCAAGCTCAAATTAACTCGAGTGGCCTTAAGTGGAACTTCCCCGTCTAACTAAGAATGCTTTCCTCATGCTCATGGAACTCATGCTGGTCTTAGCTAACAGGCTAAGAACAGTATGAGTCATAGACAGGAGAATGTTTACTACTCCATGGATTTAATGAAGAGGGAGTTTACTACTCTCCTTTCCCTTGTAGATCTTTTTTTTTATCAAAGTTTTACAAATACATTATCAGTATTTTAGAGTTGTGTATTGTTCACAGGACGCCAGCAAGCTGAAGTTAACCCCTCGCAAGATGAAGGGAGAGTCTCGCCTGGTAGCTCCTCCTGTACAGTCACCCGGGGGTCCGTCAGCAGTCAGGACATCTGCCTTCTCATTGGCCGGCTACGTCATCTTCTCACTGCGCGAGATCAACCGCAAACAGTTTACACTCAACAAGGTAAAGCAGGGTCAAGCTAGTTTACAGAGAATGTACAGGGTGTTTACCAGTCACTAAGGTCATGGAAAAGTCACTGATTACAGGGTCATGGAAGTCACTGAAAAGTAACAAATTTTCATTTTAAGGTCCCAAAAGTCACGGAAAACTAAAATAAAGGTCTCCAGACCTGTCTTTGGTTTGCACCTTGCTGCAGGCAATGATTAAATTCATAATGCAGAATCAATAAGAGTGTATATATTTTGGGAGGAGGCAATCAGCTCAAATTGTTACGGCACAAAATATTGAATGCCTGACTCTTTCGTGTTTAAGATACTGAAAATTATTATTTTATAAGTACCAAAGGTTGTCCCCCCCCCCAACCCCGCCCGCCCGCCAAAGTCACTGAAATTAAGTTTTATCAACTGGTAGACACGCTGATGTAGAGTCCAGTTGCCCATAGATATACAGTAGAAAGTCACATAACAATACTGAATATTTTAGGTGTCCTATCAACTTCAGTTCCTCCCAAACAATTCTAAACAAAGTAAGATAACTCATAATACTATGTTTCCCTTATTAACGTAAGCAGAGGCCTTGATTGCAGCAGAATCCTGAAATGTCTAGATCGAGTAGATATCATTGTCTAAACATCATCATCTTCCGCGGTCACAGAAACATCGTCATGGTCCTCCAAAATCACGGCAAAAGCGTTAACTTTTCAATCGCGAAATCTTCACAGGCACATGGGGTCGCAAAAGCGATAGTAAAAGCTTGACTCGACTTGGCCATTTTCATGATGTTGGTACCGGTACTTTTACCATCCGAATGTGCTGATTTTTAGAGAACAGACTAAATCCATACAGATAAAAAAAATTGTTTTCTACAAACAATTACATGTACAACAATTTTTTTTTATTTTGCTTTATGTAAAAAATTCACAAATCTTTAGAATAGAAAAAAGTGTAAGAGTGAAATTGTTTTTAAAATTCAAATTGTGCTGCACAATATGGATTATTCAAATTTTTGTTTATAAGCTATATATTTGCCAATCTAGAAGATCTACTGTGTTGTTTAATTTACTGTTTTCCTTTGTATTCAAATTGCAAGTGTTGGTTGATACAAATGTTTGTGGTTGCAGAACAACTACACCAGTGTGGTGGAAGGCTCGATGCAGGTGAAGATTGACACAGAGATGAGAGTGGACGTGGAGCACCGAGGGTTCCTGACTATGTTTGAGGACGTGTCTGGCTTCGGGGCTTGGCACAGACGCTGGTGTCTGCTCAAAGGGGACAAACTCTCATATTGGAAATACCCGGACGATGAACGCAAGAAGGTATGCACTCAGTTAGAAACTATCAATTAGGAGTTCAAAATAATATTGGTTTTTTACTTATAAAATTTTACTGTCAGTTTAACTTCCAATATTATGTATTTATATTGTGTCGCTTCAAAGAGTTTGACATAGGTCTAGACATTGTAAAACTTAAAGAATACAGGTGTGTTTCTTGGCAATGCTTTCATGTAATATTGATATTTTGGACTTTTGTAGGTAAATTTAGGTTTTTGTTTTTAGTGGTATGATAAAGTTTAGAGATCTGCGAGCCTGAGATAAAGGCGATTAAGCCAAACTTAGAAAAATGCTGGCGCCTCAAGCTGTTTTCAAGCCGAGCTTTTTTATACAACGAATTTGATGTAATGCCATATAATAAATTAATTGGACATTTTTTTTTTGAATGCAGTTTAATCTTAATGTTATGATGTATTTAGATACAAAGTATTAAATTTAGTAATCGAATACATTAGGTGTACTGTGCATTTATAACAATTTCTCAATGTTATCTCGGTAATATCATTTCCCATGGTCATCACCACTTTCTTCCACAATCACAGAAAAACTCCATTTTATCTCCTGCAGTCATGGAAAGTGGAAACGTCATCATTGCCTTCTGCGATCTCGGCAAAATCCTGACCGTCTGCAGCAGTGATGTAGACATCAAAATTTATTTTTGTCCATGATTGCGACAAAATCAACAGGCATCATCATCGTCAATTCCAATAGGGACTAAATCCTGGTCATCTCCCGCAGTTGTGTGGACATTATTATCGTCTCCTTCATTAACTGAAACAACATCATTGTCATCCACGATCACAAAACAATCCAGAAAATTTCTTGGAGTTTTGTAGACATTGTATGGGTCTTTTATAATTATGGCAAAATATTGAACATCTCTTGCAGTCATCATCATCATCGTCTCCCATGATCACAGAAACTTTATTTTGTCATAACTTTTGTCATAGGCCTAGCTGTAATCATAACTAAAGCTTGAATTTATATATCACACAATCTTTGCGAATCCAAGTCCTAAAAGGTCAGCTCGAGCTTGATTTTCTAACATGGCGTTCAATCACTCAAGCTCGTAGGCTAGGCTTGGTTCAACTCGAAATTCAAGCCTTTCGAGCCTTTTTAGACCTCTAAAAAGCAATATATTTAACAAGGTTTGTAAGAATGTTCTTCGTTTTATTTTATGAGGATACCTTTTAGTGTGATATTGATATTACATAAAGTTTTTTTTATTTGTGCAGCCTAGTGTCGTGAAGAATTGTTGATAATTTGATCATGGTAAGAAAAATACACCTACAATTAAACAGCAACATTGTAGTTCTTCTTTTTCTACTTTGCATTGTTCAACTGTAGGCACTAATGAGAATTTTTTGTGTCCCAAGATTCCGCTAGACACCATAGAGTTAACAATGTGTGTGACACGAGAGGTCGACGTTGTGCCGAGAGATGTATGTGCTCGTCCCAACACGTTCCTACTGGAGACCTCACGTCCTGCGCGAGACACCGACAGCGACTCTCTGGTCATGATCAGACACAAGAACACAACCACTATCAGGTGAGCTGATTAGGGACAAGAGTGTTTAAAAGGAAGTGTCCAGTGATATTGCGGTAATGTACTATAACACTTAATGAAGACAATTTAGAAAAGCAATACTGTACATTCAACATTTGACCTGATTTGAAAATTTGTATTAGATAAATAAATTAAATCATTAGTCCAGGTTAAAATGTGATTATCATCAGCAGTCCAGGCAAAACTAGAAAGGTTATCTTACCTCTGTCTTTAGTCCAACATTTTTATCAGCAGGAAGCTTGTAACAAGTTAAAACATCAAAATAAAGTACATAAAACACACAAAACCTGGACTAACATAGTCTATCACACTGGCACTATTTATTCTGATGTTTTGAGTTTTGACGTGTTGCACTCTTTGACAATGTTGTTTTTGCAGCGAAACTAGTCAGCCGGTTGATTTTGGATACAGATGGAGAAAAGATAGCCTATATTTTGTCATTAAAGAGCAGTTTGCCTATTTCGTCGTAAGAAATGTTATGTACAGTAGACACCCTCTTATCTGAACTCCCCTCTTATCTGAAACTGTATACAGTATTTGACTTAAATTTAGGAGAGCATTGTATTTAGACACGTGTTATCACTGGTATCAAATCTTTCCCATAAAAACAGTCGTTTCAGTACCGCGCACTTCCTGCCAATCTAGTCTGGTTAAACCGATGTGCTGATAAAAATTGTCCGGTTACATAGATGTAATTTCCGCCGAGTGTAGTCCTTTAAACCGATGTCCGGTTAAAAGGTGTCCGGATAAGAGGTCTACTGTACTTAGAATACATAAGGGTAGACTTCTCTAAAATAGACCTGTTGAAAATATGGCCTGACAAACAAGGTAAGAACTAAGAACTGTTTCTATTATGTTCTATAAAATTTTAAAACATAGTTACAACTACTGTTGTCGAACATTTTCACACTATCCACTTCTTTTAGTATCCTGAGTGTATGAACTATTTTAAAGGCGTGTTCATATTAATTTGAATTCGCATACGAGTACAGCTCGCATTCCTCCTTGAATAATTGTCAATCACAAATTTACTCGTATGCTAGTAGTGGAATGTGAACTTGAATGACATTTTATCATTTTGTTACTTTCCAATATGTCGGGAATGGGGGAAATGCTCGCATACGAAATATTTTTGTGAAACACCGTTTGTGAAAACGTAGGTGTGGTGGAAAAGGTATGTTTGTGTTTGTTTTTGTTTACTGTTAAGTTATGGCTAAGTTATATGAATGTTAAATTTAATTTTTTTCCAGAGACCACCAAAACACCTTTAATAATTTTACTCATCTTATACAAACATATTATACATTCCTACATAGTTCTTGAACATGTTCACTCATTCATTATACATACTAAACATAAACATATTATACACAGCGATCACACAAGATCAATGTGTATTATCAAGTATTATACATAAATACTTCTCTTTCGCCTTACAACTACATCGCGAGACTGCTATTATTATTCCAGTAACAACAACAAAGTAAATGCTGCTGGAATTTGTTCCGTCATTCGATACTGGAATAGTAACTCGCTCGCTATCGCTATAGTAACTATCTATTAACTGAAATGTGAGCTCAAATTAATGTAAATGTGTCTTAAGCAGCAAGCACTATTTAATAAGATAAAACTTTTCCAGACACTTGCTGTCAGCTGACACAAAAGAAGATCGTATTCAATGGTGCCAACACGTCAACAAATCCCTCGCCTTACTGAGGGCTTGGGGAGTCTCAGCACGCAATTGAAACCGACACATATTTCTCCCTCATTGTGATCTATATCAAATATATACATAATGAATAGGATATATTTACAGAATTAAGTATTAACTCAATAGATTGAATTCAGTAGATCTGATAAAAATATAATATAGGTATGTATAATGTCCTATGCCCATGTACTTTATATAATGAATAAGTTTTATTTACAAAATAAAGAATTTTCGTGATATATTAAATTTAATGGATCTGATAAAATATAAGTATAATGTTAGTTCAATATTTTAACCAAATGTTATTGTGTATGATGAAAGTCAAATACGAGCAAATGTTTGAGGTTAGAAACGGTCTATGAAGGTTCACCCCTAAAGGGGGGATGGTTTCTTCCCCTGAAATACCATGGTGTACCCCATGACTAATATAATGGGATGTGATTATATACAGGGTGGCCCAAAAAAGGCACTCATCATTTCACAGTAATTAATTATTATTTAATAGCTCTACAAACTTACTCTGTCTTAAAACTACGTGCTCTACATGTTTTCCACCAGTGTTTGTTTAATGTTTATTACATATTACATTCGTCTTAGCATGTTATCAACCATTCCTGTACATTGTTGTGGAGTGATATCAGAAGTTAAGTTAAAAAGCAGCAGTTTAGATGAGTACCTTTTTTGGATCATCCTGTCTTATGTGTTGGTTTTAAAACAATGTAACTTAAAAACACGTTTTAGGCTTTACATTTTACCGGTTAGTAGGAGGGCACTCCCCCCCCCCCCTGAAATCCTGAACCCACCATTCAAGGATCAATTTTAATTATAAACTGTTAAACAGATCTGTATATAAAGTGAATTTGTTGTAAGCGGATTATAAAGGAAAAATAAATTTTAATTTTTAGTCCAATTTTAATGATGTACAGGTCTTTCAAGTACTTAACTTAGCATGTATGTAACAGATCTGACAAAGTTTCCTACTCTTACGCTCTCTGTCATTAAACATAATATTTTGCATGTTAGTACCTAAGGCTTCTTGTATTCTATTTCTCCTCATATGTATTAACCAAATGTTTCTTTTTTTAAATAACGTCTTTTTTATATTTTTGTAACTTAGAGTGTACGAACAAGCCATAATATTGAAACTTAAACATAATATTAATATTGTAACTTTAAATGTTAGAACTGTATATTAAGTATTACATATTAATTATATTTTTTTACTGACACATATTAAAACTGTGGCAATTAAATAACACTGCTGTGTTGGGAAACTAATAATAAACAAATGATGGTTTATATTTAACAAATAACGTAGCAGATGAGCCTAATGAACAAGTTAAATGTTAACAACGAACGAATTTTGTGTATGTGATTTTATGTGTAGTCTGTTCTATGGAATGGTATTTCTCTTCTATTACATTAAACTTCTGTCAACAATGTAAACATGTGATTGTTTTATACAAACTTATATTAAAAACGTAAAATACTGTAATTTTGAAAAGTTATTTAACACCCAGAATACTCATATGTAGCAGTATGAAAGGTATATATGGTGGGAAGGAATTCATTTCAGCTTAAACAAATAATGTGTCCTCGTCCTGTGAGGAAGTACAAACAAGTTGAGAACCAGTTAAATGGCAAAAAACACAGAAATCACAAATGACACTTTTTCCAAAAATGCTTTGTAAGCGAGATATCCGCCATTGTATTTTTTTTTATATAAGCGAATTTCCCAAATAGCAAATAAGCTATTACCGTAGGTCTCATGGTAAGACCTTGACATGGGACCGATTTACTTTGTTTTGAGGTACCTAGAGGCCAAAAACACAATCCATTCAAATTCATGTGTATATATTATTTATATGTGTCCGTTAGCACGATAACTCGAGCAAAAATGATCCGATTTTGATTAAATTTGGTGCAAACGTGTAAACCCACATTGTTTGAATGAGTTCACGAACCAGCATAATCTCGGACTATGGGAACAAGGGGGTTTATATTTTGCAATTTATTTCTAAACCATTTTGTAGACTTTAAAAAATTATCTAGTATATTAATATTAAAGTGTTGTCATAGGATGTTAAGGATGTTAACCAACCCCTTGATCCTTTTGAGCATGTATAACGCCTGCCTGGTTGAAGGGGTTTTCCCCTTGTGCTGGAAGACAGCTAGGCTTGTGCTTGTTGGGAAGGGCAAGGGAGACCCAGATCTGCCATCCTCTTACAGACCTCTGTGTATGTTGGATACGGCTGGCAAAGTCCTCGAGAAATTGATCCGTTCCCGGCTAAATTCAGCCGTTGTCGCTGCGGGGGACATCTCCCCTCGTCAGTATGGATTCAGGATGGGGCGATCAACGATTGATGCGATTGAGGAGGTGAAGCAAGCCGTGATGAGAGCTGAGGATTTTACCCACTACTCTCGCAGGGTTGTGCTGCTCGTAACGCTCGATGTGTGAAATGCATTTAATTCGGCGAGGTGGTGCGATATGCTGGATGCTCTGGAGAACACCTTCCACGTGCTGGCATACCTCATGCGCATCATAGAGGATTATCTCCGGTTTCGCCTCCTAACGTATGACACTGCGGAGGGCCCGCGGACGATGAGTGTCACTTCTGGTGCTGCCCAAGGTTCCATACTCGGCCCAGACCTCTGGAACGTCGCTTATGACAGCCTTCTGAGGTCTGAAATGCCTGAGGAAACAGTCTTGGTTGGGTACGCAGACGACGTTGCAGCTTTGATAGCTGCACGTAGCGTTGAGCTGGCTCAGCTAAAGCTAAACCGAGTCATGCGTACCATAAACGCATGGATGGCAGACCACGGTCTCTCGCTTGCTCTGAGCAAAACCGAGATCGTGATTTTGACAAAAAAACGGATTGACACCATCGTGCCATTGAGGGTGGGAGCCGTCGAGGTTCAAACTGTTCGTTCTGCCAAGTATCTTGGGGTCATGGTAGACAGCAAGCTTAGCTGGCGGGATCAGATCTTCCGTACAGCGGACAAGGCCGCTAGGGTGGTTTCTTCTCTTAGCCGGTTGATGGCCAATGTTGGAGGGCCTCGGTCCAGTCGTAGCAGGCTGTTAATGTCTTCGGTCCAGTCCGTACTCTTGTACGGTGCGGAGGTGTGGGCAGACGCACTAAATAAGGAGGCATACAGGATGCGGCTCGCCCGAGTGCAGCGTCAGGCAGCACTGAGGGTAGCATCTGCCTACCGAACAGTGTCCGAGCCCTCCGTCCTGGTGATTGCTGGAGTCATCCCCGTCAAACTTTTGGCGGCGGAGAGAAAGGCAAATTACCGGCGCCGTGGGGAGGACGAGGCACGAACAGAGGAACGCACCCGCACCTACCAGCTGTGGCAGGAGGGCTGGGAACAGGAGACACGGGGACTCTGGACCAGGCGACTGATACAGCAAGTCCAACCTTGGGTTGATCGGCGGTACGGAGAGGTGGACTTCTACCTCACCCAATTTCTGACGGGACACGGCTTTTTCCGGTCGTACCTGTTCAGGATGGGCAAAGCCGTGTCACCCGACTGCATATACTGCCCAGGCATTCTCGATGACGTGGAACATACATTTTTCCACTGCCAGCGCTGGGAAAGGCCCCGCCTGGAGGCTCAACAGTTAATAGGACTGCTGTCGGTGGACACGGTCATACCGATTATGACGGAGGGTGAGGACAATTGGACCTGTGTGTCACATTATATCCAGGGTATTCTCCGCGCCAAGAAGATTGACCTTGACCGGGATGCGGTTGTAGGTCATTAAGAATCGAAATGCCAGAAACGGTGCGAGCCCTGAGGGCTTAGGTCACATGTTGGCCTGACTTGAAGTAATGTGACAAACAATTCCAGGTCTGTGTCCAACAGAGTAGAGGGGGTTTTTTAGTGAGTAGTCTGACAATTTTCAGGAGTCTCACACTACAGGCTGGCTACCTGTGTGCGTAAAAGCATTTTCCCTCCTCTCCCTAAAAAAAAAATAGGATGTTAAGGAAAAAATTAAAAAAAAAACTTAATTTAAAATTCCCATATTATTCTTATGGAAATGAAGCAACCTGTTGTAGGTAGTTTACTTGTTTATAAACATTTTTTGATTAAATTTGGAAAATGTATTTATTTCAAACTATTCTAACCATAAAACACTTAATTACCTTCCCTGTATGAGGAAACCTAAGTACTCGTTAAACTAGTGTTATTTAAACATCAGGGGGTGACGTATCCAGGATTTCAAAATAGGGAGGTTTTTGACCGACCGTCTAACAGTCTTTTTTAGCTCTCTTGGCATTGAAAATAATCAACCCCAATGTCAATACAGTTTGATTATATAATTTTACATTTAATTTAACAACAAAATATTATACTTAAGACTGGAAGGGGGGTCAGGACCCCCCTGGCTACGTCACTGCCCTAGAGGCCAAAAACACTACTGTTCAAATATATATATGTGTGTGTGTGTGTCTGTTAGCACAAAAACTCAAGCAAAAATCACTTAGATTTTTATGAAATTGTGTAAACCTACATTTATTTGAACGAGTTTGCGAATCAGCTTGATCGGACCATATAGGAACGGGGTTTTAAGGGGTGAAAATAGGTTTCATTCATTTTTGGCCCTCAAAACATAAAATCTTTCAATGTATCTTTAAACTATTTTGCAGAGTATAATAAAACAAAATATTGTACGTTATTAGTTACGGAGAAAATTAAAAAGAATTTGATTCAAAATTCCCATATTATTCTTATGGAGTTTGCTTGTTTAAAAATAAAATGTTATAACATTTGTCCTATTTATTTTTTTATTTGACTAAAAAACAAACTTCATCACCTTGAAACAGGCCTCGGTCTAAAACAAGGAGATGTTTTGAGTCCTTTATGTTTTAACTTATTTGTAAATGACATTATAGATTCATTAAGTGGAGGCTGCATTTTTGGAGATGTTCAAATTAAGGCTTTGTTATATGCTGACGACATTGTGTTGATGGCTCCGACGGGAACCAGTCTGCAGTTAATGATAAATGACCTTGAGAGATATTGTCAACAATGGAACTTGACTGTGAATTTAAGTAAGTCAAAGATTAT